CCGTAGTGTGTCGGAGTCAGGGTCAAGGTATTTTTGGAGGACATCCCGTTGAAAAATAAGACGCTGTAGTCGAGCTACAGAGTTCAGAGACAAGAAGGATGGAGGCAAGATGTCCGAAGTCGTCACGAAAGGAGTTGATTGCCACACGCCAGGACCCCTGCGTATGCTAACGGAGGTCCCATCCTGATGCGACGAATTTTGAGCGAAAAATCGCGTTTCGTCCGATCCGTAGTGCGACGAAAACGGCTTTTCGATGCTGATGTTCCATCCCGCTATGCGACGAAAATGTCTCTCGGGGACGCAAAAAATGGGGTAAAAACTTGGCAAACACGGCCAAAAACATGATTTGGGGAAATTTTTTGACGACCAGGGTTTGGGAAGGCCTTATGCGGAGCGATGTTCCATCCGACGTGCGACGGAAATGGCCAAAAATCCGATGTCCCATCCCTGATGCGACGAAAACACCCCCAAAATCGTGCGACGAAAACGACCGATTTTGGGGGTTTTCGGATGGGACCTCTGTCAGCATACGCAGGGGTCCTCACACGCCACATCTCTGCCAGGTGCGATAAGATTAGATCGCCAACCGATAGCGTAATCCTGCGTTGGTATTTTTCTTGACCTCCCACACCGTTCATTACTCTACCTCTTATACTCGTATACACTCTCCTAAACAATAACTCCTGGTCATCATACTCTACCAGACAAAGCTTGAACGGATTTAACACAAAAGCGAATGATGACGACGCACCCATCGAACCGCCACCTCACGTCCTCTCGCTGAACAGCCCACAACGTCGAGCAAGCCGCCAGTTTCGCTCGAAGGCAAGAACCTAGAACATCACTAGAAGAACTGGAGAATACGAGTGTAGCGGCCGTACAATCAGCCCTTGATAGACTTTTATTACCGTTCACGGTCCGTTTCGCCACATTTTGCCTCTCTCCATAGCTAAGGCTGTACAAATGTGAATGGCTTACGTTGGAGGAAGTGAGCTCTCTAGCCTCAATACCCCACCATTTCCACGATTTGGACCTCTTGCGATCCTACCCGGCATCCGCCCGGCCACAACCTCCATCTCCGCCTTCCCTCTACACCCTCCGCCCCATATCCATACTCACCTCGCAAAAGTCTCACGATTGGTTCGTTTTCACTGATGAGTCGGTAGTGCATAGCCAAGAGTCGGATTTGAAGGAACACTGAAGGGAGTCGAGTATTGGTTCAAGGGTGTTTGCGAGGAGTCGGTTGGGAGGATAGAGGAGGCGCAGAAGTTGAAGGACGTTGAAGGGGTTGTGGAGTATCGAGGAACATAGGAGTTTGCAGGAGGAGAGGGTGAGTCGCTGGTCGTTTCGAGGGTATTCGGACGTGGATGGCTGACGCTTTTCATTACTAGAGCTGCAGAACGCGACTGAGCAGAAGATGGGTTATTTCCATGAATTTGAGCACGCACCGTGGAGGCTTAAATAACCATCCAGGCGATTCGCTCGTCCTCCACGCATGCATCGACTTTCTTAAGGCTCGCGTCCGCCCGTCTCCCTTCTTCTCCTCACTCTTCTCTGCCCTCAATTTGTCTTAACCTCCATCCGAATGTAGTGCCACTTCCGTTGCATTTGTGCGAAGCAGAAATCTACTTGTTCCGTTCCTAACAACGTATGACCCACGCCATGACGCTCGTCAATATGTTATTTGTTGAACATTTGCGTGCGCTCACGTAGGATATCACACGGCGACTCTCGGAGAAGGTACGCCCTCTTAACATACCATGTCTATCGTACGCGTGTCGTATTACTTTACGCCCCACTACCCTCTGTCCACTCCCTCGCATTCCCTCCCACTTTATTATATCAATCATTGGCAATATTTATGTCCATAATCATGACACAGGACGTCTCCTCGATAGCACAGCATCACCTCCTCAACACTCGCTTCCAGTTCGCATCGCATCAGCTGGCTCCGCTTCTCTCCGAACTCGAGCAACGAGCAGCGTCCCACCCTGATCCCCCTGCTTCATGATCACAGGTACGTCTATGTATTCGTCATTTTTACCCTTTCAATGAAGCAAAGGTTTACCGCCATTATTCGTCTCCATTGGATGTCATATTTTGTTCGTTGGTTTAGAGTTAGCGTTGACGCGTGCTCCAGGAGTGTCACACGGCGTGGTTTGCGCCGAGGAAAAGGATCGTGGTGAGACGGTTGGTGGAGGACGTGAAAGGATTGGAGGTAGGGCGGGGGAGGTCATCGAGGCAGTACGTCTGTCCCTTTTTACTTTTTATCATCATCGTCATCGGTGCTATACTGCATTCTTCGCAATAATCTTCGTGACTCTACGCCTTGCCACTTCATCTACCATTTCAATTTCTTTTCGAGGTCGATTTGGCTGATTTTGCGTTGACTTTTGAAGGCATATACCCGTCTCTCTGCGTTTGGAATGATTCTCGGGAATGTAAATCAACTTAGGCACGTCCGTCTCTGAATAAAACAACGAAGGCACGAAGGAATCGATGGCTGGCTGGATGGATGGATGGATGGACGACGGCAGACGATGCCGGGATGTAGCTATCCGAAGCAGCTCTGCGCGGATGAGTGGGAGCTCTATCGGTGCGTTTTCGATTCCCGTGAAGACATATTTTCGTTCTTCACTCCCTTGTCGTCTTTGTGACGTATTAACGTTCTCTTATTACTAACTACTTTCCTTCAGTTTCTCTCTCGTTCTTTCCCTGATCCTTAAAAAATAATTGCGACGCGCCTCTGTCGTATCACCGACAGACTCCCAAACCTTACTATCGCGTCTACCGACTTCCTACGCCCAATCGACCACACGCCCAACGCACTCGACCGGCCACCGACGCACGAAACTCACTCGTCCACTCGCTCCCCCCCAACTATCACCCTTCAAAGCGACGCTCACACAACAGCCAAACACTGGACGAAACACACAGGAACGTTTACCTCAAATCCTTCTGCGACTACCTCGACTCTGCGATTACCTCTACACCGAGGTTCCCGGATCATACACGAACAAAGGCTCAGTGTGCGCTGTGAGGTATGAATCGTCTTACGTGTTTGAGTTATACCACTATCTCTTCACATTAAATCCTATCGAACAATGTCTCACGATGATGTGGCCCGACTCACGATACAATCCGTGTCTTGAACACACGATAGATAAGGAGAAACCGGCTCTTCTCCGTGATGATGATCTTTCTCCTGCTCATCGGAATGAATTCTGGAGATCCGAGGAAACGAAATCCGCAGATCGTCAACCCGTGCGGATGGCTACACGGATGTTTGTCCATGGCCACTGACAATACAACAGACTCAAGAGTACTAGCGCCATTATGACGATACTTGACACTGATACTCTCCCTCTACGACTTGATAGCCCTCACTACCGTCGAAAACCCTCCCTACGAATAAAAACCGCCACATTCAGCGAGCAAACAGGGCCGACATAGTTTTGAGGCTTTCGGAAGTGAGCCGGGGAGTTCCGCGCCTCTCATTTCCAAACCAGTCACGTTCCTTGTCCAGCCCCGAGTTGACAGTTCGGCATTCTATCGTCTGTGCCATCCGAAAGGATCTCTCTCGAACTCGAACTTCAGCTCATGTTATCACTGTACGTCCGTCGAAACTCCCGTGTTCTGCGGCTGCAGTGTATGCATGGCGTCTGGAACTTGGTGACGAATAAATATAGTAACCTAGCTCTCTGAGAGTCTTATCAGTGAAGTGAGAATGATGTACGCAGATTTGTGCTGCTTTGACCGAGCTCCAAAGACCTCCGCGCGCCGTGGTACAAACTTGGCCTGTACCCGATAATGAACGTGTCAGCTGCCCCTGAGCTACCGATAACGCGTCTCAACATAGTCCAGATTGGTACGCGAGTAGTATAATTATCGCGGGGGGCCGTCAAGGAGCTCGAGCCTTGCTTCACACTACCGCGCTCCTCGACCATCTCCTCCCGAAAGCGACGACGACCGATAATGGCCACAGTGACAGAGACGGAGGAGGTAAGTCCCTATTCACACGTCTAGCAGTCGGTTTGGCTCGCCCTTAGCTCATTCCTCTCCAATTCTCAAGTTCGTCACCTTCTTTGAAGGAGATAAGCCCGGAACACGCAAAGTCCTTCGTGGTACCGAAGCGAAGACATTCACCTCGATTCCTGTCATCGACTTCACGAACATCGACTCTCCCTCACTCCAGGTGCGGCAAGCGCTTGCTAAGGAACTGTACGACGCCTGCAGCAACGTCGGGTTCTTCTACGCCAAGGGTCATGGAGTGCCGGAGGAGCTGGTCGCCGAGACGTTTGACTATATCAAGAGATTTTTTGCGTTGAGTGATGAGGTGAAGATGAGTGCACATTTGCAGAAGAATCCCGGGCTAAAGTGAGCTCCGTATTTGCTTGGGGAAAAGGGATGGTTATTGGTTGAAAGTACTAACGGACGGTGTAGAGGTTACGAACCGATGTTCGAGACGAAGCTGGATCCCAAATCTGCAGGCGGTGCGCATACCTCCCATTTTCACTCGCCCTCCGTCTGATCGTATCCAATAAAGACACGAAAGAGGCATTCGCTATGGGTGATGATCCCCTCGAACCCGAACAGAACTTTCCCTCCCATCTCCCTCTCCCGCAAGGGATCATACCGCAAAACATCTGGCCCAAGGACGAGCTGTGGTTCCGCGAGTCTATATACCGATACTATCACGCAGTCTTTCCCTTCGCCAAGAAACTCGTTCGGTTATTTGCACTGGCTCTGGCACAGGAAAGCGAAAATGTGTTCGACGACCTCTTCCAGTTCCCAATCACGAGCGTTCGTGCTTTGCACTACCCGCCAAACGCCGATGTCAAGGACATAGATTATGTTGGGCTCGGCGCACATGCTGACTATTCTTGTACGTTCCTATGTTCTACATTGTCGAATTAGCGCTTTAGGTGTGATATTTCATGTACGCTCATCACTCGCTTTATATATAGGGATTACTCTGATCAGGCAAGACGGCGTCCCGGGACTCGAAGTCCTGAACGCCAACGCACAATGGATTCCCGCCACTCCGATCCCTCACGCCTTCATCTGCAACGTTGGTCAATTCCTCCAGCGTCACACCAACGGCATCTTCCCAGCCACAGTCCACCGCGTGCGTAACATGACGGGTGAAGAGAGATACTCCGCCGCGTTTTTCTTGACTCCCGACCCCGGTGCGTCGCTCGCGCCGTTGAAGAGCTGTATCAAGGAGGAGGGGCAGAAATATGAGGCGATTCCGAATGTCGGGGATCATTTCATTAGGAGGCTGTTGAGGGCGAGGTATCAACATCCGGTTTCCGTGAAGTACAGAGATACGCCGGAGGAGGAGCTGTTTTATAACGATGTATTAATCGGGAAGTAGATAGTTCGCGTGTGGACGAGTTATGTGTAGGAATTGAAACGGAACCCTGATTGAATCTCAATCCGTCTACTCGTGTCACGAAACCACTTAGATGTCGGCACTTGAACCTTGATTCGTTGAGCTTCCTTCGCCAGTGAGAAGAGCTTCAGACGTGCAGTATGAATGCCTGGCAGGCTCGGTGTAAAAGTCTCTGTGTATCGTCGACATTTCACTCCGATTATGAGTTTCCTGGCGGTCAAACATCAAAAGCTATATCACATAAGCATCCATGTATCAACCAGAGACTGTGATAGAACATACCTAGATGAAACCATATTATCTGAAGGGAACTACTCGGTGGTTGAGCTCACGCGGGGAATTTCCACTGAAAATTGAAGAGCCCTGACCCTCGATCATTCGAGACAGAATGCCAATAAGCATGCATATTCTTCTTCTATAATCGCATGTGTATTCGTAGCAAAAACGACGAACAAGACCGACAAGGGATGCACTTGACGCCAAGCGAGAACTGTAACAGAAGGAGCTGTAGTTCCATTCTACGGACACCTCCTTCTAATCTTCGTCACTCAACGCACAAAGGCCTGCACTCACGTTCACATCCTATGCACACTGTCACCCTTACTGCCCCGCCCTCCCAACCCAAGCTCAAGATCGCTCGCAGCCAGGGGCCCTATATTTGTCCACATCCGTTTCAAACTTCGATGTGATGTGTTCAGCGACTCGAAACCCGTACCTCCAAATGATCATACGGCACATGTAGACGCAATCACCGCTCTTAATGTCTCCGACAACTTGTATAAGACCTATACTCTACATCTATTCTTCATTTCGACAGGTCAGTAAAACATCGGGTGAGGTAGGAATAGATGCGAGAAAGCTCCTTGGGTTGCCCAAGCAGCGTAGATAACCTTTGTGCCTATCACTCACCGATCCCCATATTAATGTTGACCTCGTCAGTCGCATCCACTACGCGACAATCAGCCACACTTAGATCATGGCTGTACATCCCTTCCTACATCATTGCTTGTTGACAGCCGTCCTTCAGAGTCACCGTCCACATTTCGGGACGCAAACTCTATCCCTCCGAGAGTGATCACTTGTGCGCTGTGGATTGTAGCGGCCTCTCGAAGATGAATTATGACCCGTGTAGCCAGCATGGTATGCAGCATGCCTTGCGGACTGTAGACCGAAAAAACAAAAATCAGATCATGAGCGTTTGTGAACGAGAGAAGAGCAAGGCAGCGAATACGACGGACACGAGGAGGACATGCGATATTCCAGGCTAAGAAGAAATGAGCGCGTTGGCTACGGGACGATAAGATCAAAGTAGGTACATACGGGTGCACTCAATACAGTCACAACATTAACTATCGAGGTTGCTGCGGTATTATTAGCCGCACAACGCAGTTCGTGCCGGTAGGGCTGTCTTGGTACTCACATATCGAGTATATATAGTATAAAATCCCTACACTGCGGTCAACCATCCGCACAATAATTAGTAAAGGGCGAGGCACGCACCATCCCGGTATAAGACTCGAATCAGGTGGCTCTTCAAGAGTACGACTAGGGTACAAATGCGTTTGAGACTAAAATTCAGGTCAATGCATCATGAGTGTCACCACTAACATCTCCATGGTGCCTTGATAAGCGTAAGAACAAGAACAACTGTGCAGTGTGCAAGTACCATCAGTCAACCTGTAGTTCCAGAAATACAACGAAGACGGACCTGTCTCCAAGATGGCCACACAGGCATAAGTAATAGATATGGTACCCCCGCCGCCAGACTGAATGCAACGAGAAAATGCAGCGGGATTATCGGGATTCGGTAGAGTAACTGAACAACAAAAGCACGTATCATTTCCGGGGAAGGGGTAGTATCGTATAGAGCTAATTCACTCACCTTGTACTGATGCCTCAAATTTAGTCGCATACGTGGCGACAACGGCCAACAGTACGGTCACCAAGGCGGCGAGGCCCATTGCGATTCTCTTGTTCCTTTCCCATAAGGCCCACGTTCTGAACACAAGGATGACTGGTTGAAACGATCGTCAGAAGGTAGTCTGAGCGGTATAGTGGTAATCATACATTCTGCCGCCGTGACACATACGAATTGACCTCCTAGAATTAGTTTTTAGCGATCCACAGCATACTTAGGATAGACACCATAGGTACCGACCGTCGATGGCGCGGCTCAGAGCAACACACGTGGAATCAGACGGATGGGCGTACCCATACACTGAGCAGATTCGGATCAGTGGCTCGAGTTAAACATGAGTGAACTGAGATAATTGGAAAGAACTCACTGATCAAAATGAGCACACCTTCGCAAAGCGCACCATAACGAGATATGACAAAGAACACATTCACGATACTCCATCCGGACGACCAAACAAATCGAATTTCGCCTGGAAAGGTCGAGAAGTAGTCGTAGAACTATATCGCTCATATTTTCAGTGACATTGTCTGGATTCGAATCAATCGAGGACTGGACGGGACTCACAACGAGTGCAATGGAGCACACTATATATAATTTCAGTGAATTACGGCTGAAATCCACGAGGACTATTTACCGTCGACATACTTTTAAACGAAAGATGACAAAGACAGACAATGCATGAGGCTAGCGTTTGGATGACGACGACCAGCACGAAACACTTACTGCAACAATCTGAATCTGCTGCAAGCTGTATGCTTGTGCACTGTGGTCTGCGAAAGACATGAGATGGGCGGCGAGGTGGTCGGCACCTTTGTTCGGTCGCTTCATAAAGGAATGCATCTCTAGATGTCATCACAGCTCTCATCACAATAGAGCGTCAGAACATCGGTTTTCTCGGATCTTACGGACCAAGGAGAAAGTATGATATCTTGAGCGCTGTATATTCCCCATGGAACAACGGCAAACGATATGATAAAGACAATTGCAGAAGTGATCAAACCCAGGACCACTCCTCTCAAGTCACTATTGAGCAGAATTGACGGTCAAAATGCTCCTAGCTCAGGTCTGGATACATCTCCGCAGTATTTTGGGCACGAAATCAGTCACTGTGAGCGCTGAGGCTCTCCGCATCTCTTGGAACCAGCGACTCATCTCAGTGATCGAGAAGATGCAAACAATGATCACAGCCTCTCTCGTACATAGGAACCACTGGTAACGGTTCCGACTGGTATGAGGAGTCCGATTATCGCGGTGACGAGTCAAGGAAGGAGAAATAATAGCGTATATTCGGCTTGGGTAGCCCGAGCACGATTACAAGCATGAAACAAACCCTCCATCTACGATGATTGGGATGTTTATAGACATCAACCGGAGGAATGGAATCAGTGATCTATCTCATGTTTGTTCTTCAGTTCATGATCAGATGAGGAGCAACCCTTTCTGAGCGTCACGTCTGAAGAGGAGGCAGATAGTACTGTGGCTTAACACATAACAAACAGAACCCGCAGGCAAGGTGTCTGAGTAAGTACTGCGAACCGCGGTGATGTTTTGGTTCGATAGCGGAGCTCGAACGTCGCCACAGAACCAACAACGCCACGACGTCGACGGCCGCGTGGAGATCAGCCGCTGAATGTTGCCGTTGCTGCGTTCGCGTTGGGTCACGTTCGAACGGACGGGACAGGGAACGGAGGAGACGAGAGTCATTGGTGCTGATTGGACGTGGTGAGGACGAATCAGAAAGCAATAAAGAGCACAGCGAGAACATGCAGGCCTGGATGCCGACCGTGTGGTCGTTGAAAGCTGGCAATTAGGAGCCAATACAGTATCACAGCAGTTGGGTGGCGTCGTTGTACCCCAGTTCTGTGCGGGACTAGAAGGAGACAGACATAGAACTCGCAAGTTCGCAGCAAGTAGCCACAGACGAAGGCAAGAGCCAAGGCTGGCGTTCGAGCACACATTCCGTCTCCCGAGAACACGGATATTTTTCATTATCGTAGAACGGAAGAGAAGACGGTTGGGCCGAGGAGATAGATCCAGTGTGCGCAAGATCTGGTGGCGAAGAGGCCCGCATGGGCCACGTGGGGCTGGTTGGTTTCAAAGCGTAACAATTAGTGGGCGAGAAGCGTTCAGAACGGTGGCATGCCGTTAGCAATGGAGCTGCTGCCGGAGAAGACTGCGAATGAGCGGTTGTCGAGGACGTTGTCGACGACGAGGAGGACGAGAGAGAGCAGGGCGGGGACCTGAAGAGGAGGCGGAGCCCGACGGAAACCGACGCGGGGTCTGCCGCAGGGCGGGGACCAGAGTGAAAGCCGCAGGGAGCGAGGACGGCGATTGGCTGTGCGGAGCTGGACGAGTCGCTCGACGGTCGTCGCCTCTCTCGCTCTCCCACCACCGTCCCGCCCAGCGCTCCCCAACTCCCATCCCCATACGCACATCCTTCGTCCCCTCGACAATATTCTTCTTTACGACCTCCAGCGTTGCGCAACCTCACGAGCAAGAATGCCTTCCATCAACATCAAGTCCTTGTCGTCTTCATCAACAGCCTCTCCTTCTACCTCGTTGGCTCCAAAACAACACAATTCGTTGCGACATCGCGCGTCGAAGTTATTCAACGAGATCATTCTGTCAAATTCGCGAAGGGTACCTAGGTCTGTTTCTTCTCCCTATCTGTCACTTTCAGCCGGCAGTGTTTGCGAAAGAGGGTCTTGTCGTCTTGCCTGGGAGGTTGGGCGTCAGAGCGTCGAGTTTTGGGCGCCGGAATCATGAAGACATGGCAGGAGATATATATGCGTCTACTTTCTCGAGCATGGGCGACGTCGAGTGGTCATACTAGCTCTACGCCTTGACTGCTAACCGTCATGCGAGGTATGGTCACCTCGGTCCGGGCCAACGTTAGCCGGCTACCTCTTTCCTTGCGACCTACATTAACGCACTGAGCAGTATGGCTGCCACATCGTCAGTGGAGGTCGCAGGTGGAACTGTTCGATGTGCAGTCATCCTCGTCCTAACGGCGACCGATATCGCCACCCAAACGTCGCTCGTTGATCGCGTCCTAATTTTGGCATCAAGGACGACTTGCAATCATCGGACAGTCTGTCATAACCTGACATGTCGTTGCTCTCGACGTGTAATAAACACAGATACTGCGGTATTCACACTTCGCCTTCTTAGTACGCGTCTTCCGAGTGGCTCTTTCGCCGGAGAGGACGGTCTCACAGCATCTATTTTATCGTTCTTTCGCGCTCGTCGCACGGGTCCTTCTTCACCTCGCACTTCCCTTCGCGCCAGATTTCGCGCCTTTTGTCGAGAACGCTCCCCACGCCCACTGCCTCCTCGTTCACATGACTTTGAGTTAAACTATCAGGCTATCTCTGTCGTTTTTATCCCGATGCGTTGTGCACACTGCGAGACTGGTGTTCATAAGGGCTCCAGAGTCGACTGGACCTTGCTCCATTGAGGTCCGGGTAACGTACAACTCCCTTCGAAACTCGTTCAGCGAGCACAAAGAAACACTTTTGTTTCGGCGCATGCGGCGTTTGTGGGATATGGTCATTCACGATTCCCGTAGTTTGTTCTCTGTTCGGCCCAACACGGCGACGGGCCAGTGTTATGGATCCAGCCTGTGCACCGTGTCGCCTCTTGATCCTAACATAGTTCTCCGTATACGTTCTACCTCTGCTTTCGCTATACTGCTCTCGTTCTGCACTACACGTCCCAGTCACTGACGCGTTACACTTTCACTAGACATAAAACATCACGTAAAGGTTTCGTTAACCCAAGAGCACTCGACCACTGCAGACTCCCACCCGAACTATGGATCCAAATCATCCGCGAAGCAACCTTCATGACCCCCGACCCGCTCAGTACCGCCGAGGACCTGTCTTTCCTCGAGTCGTCTTCCCTCCAGCTCTCGTCATATTACGCCGCCATGCGCTTCAAGACGAACGTTTCACTGGTATCGAAGCGCTGGAACGCCTTCGTCAAGGTCTTCCTCTTCGAGTTCGTATGGATCTCCCGCGCCCAGCAGGCCAAGGCGCTCGCGCACACGCTCCTCATGGAGTTCGTCGAGGGACGGTCCGCGGCTTCGGGGAGGTTTATACGGCGGTTACACATCGATACACCCGTACTCGAGCGCTGTTCGCCCCAGGACCTCCATACCATCCTAGAATATTCGCCACAGCTCACGATTTACACCGACAACCAATCTATCCAGCGAAATCGATACGACGCCCTCCCCGACCCGCGGTGTTCGCCGGAGAAGCTCCTCTCACTTCTTACTCATCCTAACTCCGAGCTGCGCCGCCTTTCGTGGACGTCTTACGACGACGTTCCCTTCCATCTCCGCATGTCGCCGCTGCAGGATATGCCCACCATGCGACTCGAGTATCTCGAACTCTCATCGTGCTCTCCCAATTTCCACGCCCTCTTTTCCGATTCGCTGGAGTTGACATCGCCGTCTGCAGCCATGAGCGTCCATCTTCCCGCGCTCCGAAGTCTGAAAGTCAGCCTCGATAACGGGATGTTCGCCGTCCTCGCTTCATGGTCCATGCCGCACTTACGCAACCTATCCGTTGTCTCCGCCGACTTCAGCTACACCGGCGCTGGTTTCTACCGGTTCTTTGCGGCCCACGGGAAATCCCTCCGCCAACTCGAACTAGGCCACTCTTCCTCGCTCATCGAGGAGCACTATCTCACCGCGCCACACCACCCCCGACACAGCACGGAGAACAGGTCACTTTCGTTGGCGAGGTGGTGTCCGAACCTACGAGAGTTGATCTGTTCGGCGGACGCGGAGTGGCACTGGGAGAGTCCGGACTGGATCGCACCGCATGTTCTGCTGCCTTCGCATCCGCGACTCGAAATGATCGCCATCCGTGATATCGACGCACGTATCATCTCAGCGCTTGACATGACATCCAACGCGCCCTCGACGGACGATACCGCCTTCTTCCCGCTCCTGCAACAGATATCCTCGATCCTCAGTCCCGAAGCGTTCCCTAGCCTAAAGTATCTGCGGGATCTGAGCGTGGAGAGCGATTCGATGAGGAGGCGGAGGCCGGAGAGGGCTGTGGTGCAGTTTTGGGCGAAGGTGCTGGGGCGTTGTAGGGAGAGGGGTGTTTGGTTGGAGGATGTGGAGGGATTTAACGTGACGATGGGGACTTTGAGGAGGGCTAGGAAAGTCCTGGATGTGCGGGAGGCGGTGGAGGAGGGGAGGTCGAGGGGGTGAGTGAGTATTCTCGAACCTTGTTCTTTTTTTTTTCCGTCTTCTCTGCCCTTGGTCGGATTTCTTGTGGCACCTTTCCTATTTTCAATTCTCTGCCTGCATGATTTCTTGATCTGGAGCTTGTTTTATGGATGGTCTCGTTCTTATTCTGCATCCCAACCCCGTGTGTCCATGTGTGTCTACTATATATCCTCGGTTTTGTCCGCCCCTTATCTCATCCTCTCCGTGTGTCCTTAGCGAATCCATTGTGTCCATCCACCGCGTCTCTATCCCTCCGTTCTCGTCATGACCCTGTGCATCCATACTTCTCTCCGTCCACCCACTCTCCCCTTTGGATCGTTTCGCTTCGCTATCGTTCATGACCCCGTCTGCATCCGTCCTTTCCCTTCGTTATTTATGGCTCTGCGCGCCCCCTCACTCGCTCATCTTTTCTTCTTGGTGCGTCATTGGTGGCGGTGCCACGTTTATCCCGTCACGATTGCATCGTTTAGCATTCACATCGCCGTCCATCGTCTTTTGATACCCTCCCTCCACCTTCGCCGCACCGCCCACCTCATCATACACCGAACGGTTCGGTTCCTCACCCCTTCGCGCCGCTCTTTACCCTGACCCTTACCCTCACTCTTGCTCTCGCCTCGCACCTTGTGTCATGACTGCATCGTTTCCTCCCTTCTTTCTGCCTGACTTCCTCTCCCCTTTTGCCTCTGTTTTCCTTCGTTTCCTTTTTTTCTCTGTCGCGTTTCGTCGTTTCTTGTTTCTTGTTTCTCGTTTCTCGTTTGTCGTTTCTCGTTTCTCGTTTCTCGTTTCTCGTTTCTCGTTTCTCGTTTCTCGTTTCTCGTTTCTCGTTTCTCGTTTCTCGTTTCTCGTTTCTCGTTTCTCGTTTCTCGTTTCTCGTCTCGTCTTGTCTCGCATCGACCTCGTCATCGTCTGGTTTGTCCAATGTATACTACGTCACACAGCACCAACTCAAAAGAGCTATACATACATCGACCATACACCCAGTCAACCATCCACCAATCCAACCAATCCAACCAACCAATCAACCAACCAATTGATCAGCATCTACCATCCATTTATCTATCTACCGTTTCTCTTTCATTCTAGTTTACCGCGCCGTTCGGCGGTCGATATTCAAAGTCACGCTTATACCTGTGTTCGTTCGAACATCCTGCGACGGACTTTTACATGATCGCTCCAGTCGATTTCGTTCGCTTTTGGGTCAAGTCTTTCGTTTCTTATGCCTGCCGGATTTACATCTTGTTCGTTCGACACGTAGGTCTGTGGCCGATGTGGCCCGTGCGCATATGGGACTTCGAAGGGTCGGCAGTTTGTGTTATCTTGTTGACGAAGCTATGGATATAAGTATGAGTACATGTGTATATGCGTAACGGAATGGAACTATGGTTCTTGATGGAACTGGATCGAGCTGTGTTGGAATCAGTTCACGCGTGCAAAAATGCAGGAGAGTCGCTGCAGCAAGGGATAGGCCACGCAAGGGCCACGTCACTGGCTCAAAATTGGTATATTTGTCCTCGGAATTAGCGATGGCAGTCTGTCATCCTAACGCTGTGGTACAGAGAGCAACGTTTTCTATGGCAGTGTGATATGCGAGGGACGGTCTTGCGACTATTGTGTCCAAATTGTGTCCAAAGCAACTCGGTGTGTGGCGAGCTGAACGCCAGCGTGTCGGTCCCCACCGTATTGTATATTTTGCTCGGCATCGCCCGCTCGTCTTTGTTCCCGTATTGCTCACTGCCTCGTCTTTCCGTATTGTTCACTGCCTTTTCTCTTGCTGTGAAGCTTCTTCCTTGCGAGCTGAATGCTACGGAGGACTGGCTCGCTTCTCTATTGTCTGCAAGTATACTTCAAATGTATCTAGCTCTGATCTCTAGTCATCAGGAACGGGCTGAATGTTTCGTCTTCCGAGTGCCCACCTACGACGAGTCATTGTACTCTGGGTCTCCGCTAGCCGATCCCGGCAACTATTGAGACAATTGGTGGCTGTTCTATTTGATTTATTCCTTGTCTCTGCATTGCATTGTTCCCAAAGCGCCCTGAATCTGGCCATCGCGTATATAAGGACCCACGCGATCAACTGCTCGCCTTCCTCCCCAACCCTCTCACCATCTTGCAACGTCGGAGTTCCATAAAGCCTTGAAACAATGGTATAGTTCTCGTATTGCCCTCCGACCAAGTTCTATATACTGATAAAAGCTACACCCCAGTTCGACGACATAATCAGGAAAGTCAGGCGCACCGACATCGGTATCATGTTCCTAGACTTCGCCACCTCGGCGGACATGCAGCCAGAGCCCCAATACGCCATTTACACCCAAGATACCTGGCACGAAACTCTCAAGTTGGCTGAACGCTCTCCTTTTTTCACAAAGACTGCTCGCGGCGATGTCCATCAGCTCATTCCTACCACTACACCCCCTTCCCCGAGCGAACAGCCAATTCAGTGCATGCTCCATCCCAAGGGGCAGACAGTTCCTTCGTGGTTTGGCTCTGCGACCGACAGCATAAAAGCGCTCGGCGTTCTCCATATCTGTACTGTCTTTGACATCGAACCCTTGGCGTATGCCGAGCTCATCGCGAGCACCAAGAGGACCCCATCGCCGTCTACATCCCTGCTCCATTCGCTCGCAGATATCGTCGGTAGTCTTCCCTCCCTAACCGAGATATCGTGGGTCCCGCACTTGACCGAACTCTCTGAGTCGAGCGATAGAGACGATGGACACCATTACCTGGAGAAGACGTTAGCCGACATCGAGAAGGAAATTCGCGAGGACTTTGGGATATCTGTTGGTGTTTACAGAGTTTTGGAGGACGAGTTGCGTGATGGGAAGCGTGTCGTGGCTTGCTTAGGCCTAGACGTGCGGTTCGGCGGTAACGCGTCTTCTGAACGTTGAGTGGGACACCTCTGCCTCGTCTTCGTCGCTACCATATAGCTCTGCCCTGTGTCTCGCGTATGCCCGTCTTGGAGTTTGAAATGTACTAGTATATCTGTTTGCCCATTGAATCTACTCGGAGTACCTGGTCGACTACGCTGCAAGCTGGCTCTGCAGTGTCCAGTTTCTTGTCCTATTGTTTCGACTGGTTTCTTTGGTGGTCACGACCTGTACTGGGGTGGCACCCAGCAAAACCTATTGTATATTGCTGACTAAGCTATGTAAGATCCAAGCAGTTGGGGACAGCTCTCACTTGCTTTCGAAGACCTCGAGCCGACTAAAATCACTGGCCACACACAACCGAGCTGGTCAGAGTTGAGGTGGCGTCATCGGATCGTTTCCAGAGCAACGCCGCGCATAGGTAGACTGCTCTCTACACTGACCAGGATCCAATCAGGGCCAAAAATCAGCCCTGTTTCAGTCATGCCATTGTTCCTTGACACGGCGGCGCTGGCCAAGGCGGTGGCTGCAGGAATAACCAATTACATTGCTTTGTCTTCGTCGTCCGCTGCTGCTTTCGGCACTTGGTCTATCTGTCCATTTGCTGCGGCACTAAGTCGTGGCATATATAACCCCTCCCGCCGAACGTTCTCTGTCTGTCCCTTGTCCTGATCCTTCTCGTCTCCCTCCATCTGACTGTTGTCCATAGGCTTCCGTCATGAATCGTCTCGCAGAATTCATTTCCGCTACGAATGCGCAGATCCAGGACGTAAGACATTCGAACTCGTATGATTGTCGCATTTTAGCTGACATCAACCTTTATTTGGCGATATAGGATATACTGGAGGATACGTACATGACATCGGTATAGCTACCTTCTGGCATGTCGACCCTCCTAGAGGGACTCCGAGTGTCACACATGGTCCTATCATACAGGAAACTACAGCTCGGACGATACCGGGCAGATTCGAGCCTTTTATCACGACGGGCACGCACAGCGACGTATTGCTTCCTAGTTCCGGTCTCCTTCCCACTGATTTACTTTCCCTCACACACTACACCTGTGTTGTTCGCCCTCATCCACCTTTCTCCGAGTTATCGTCCCTCCCTGAGCAGTGCGAAGCGATTTGCTCTCGTCTGCTCACCATCGAAGGGTTCTCAGAGTACTTCCGGAGATCAGCCTCCTTACATGCTTTTCGCCACCCGATTGATATTGTCACAGAGCTGCGGGACTGCCTAGCTCTGGGCGCGCCGCTCTGTTATCTGTTCAACTGGCTCCCTCCTCCGTATCAGCCTATCAAATTAGACGTTGTAGATCCCAACCCCTTCTTGTTCGATTTCCGCGATAAAGTTTCCAGGACACGCGCTATAAAGACGTTCATTGCTTATTGCCAAGGCCAGAGCGTTTGTGATGGTTTCGACATCCATGACCTCACCGACAAAAGCAGGTTCGCAAAGGTTTGTAATCCACATTCCGTTCGTTCCAACTTTCGAGTTTTGCTAACCCCTTTGTGCTTTCCGCTGTAGGTCTTAGCGTCAGTTAACGCCGTCCTTGATGCCTTACAAGATAGAGTCTTCACCGAGGTTGCTCCACCATCGGAAGCTCCTCTTCAGTGGATTACGAATTCGCCTCCCAGTCTCATCTTCGACGGGATCCTCTTCCTAATCCGTGTCCCCTTGCACCGCTACCCTTACATTACGAAGGAAAAGATCCTCGAAGCATGCAGGGCAAAAGGGACCGACGAGTGGAGTTCACTGCGCTGGCTTCCGAATCTCATCAAGATGTTTCGCGGCGCTCCCGACTTTGTACCGTGGCTTTCAGCGTTGGCGCCTGGGACGGACCAAGGATACGTTAAAGCCGCGATGATTGCCATAGGATTCCTCCTGCCCTTTATTCACAAGGACTCCAAGGCCCTTCGCGACGGTATAGTTAGGGTGTATCGCGCCGATACATACAAGCATCCGGACGAGAACTCGGCGGTGGCGACGCTGAGCTTGGGGTATAGTGAAGGCGGCGGCGCTATGGAAGCGCTTCCGAGTGCGTACTTGCATCGCCTCCCGTATTGATTAGTTACACTGTACAATGTGTTGTGGCTATTGGTGTCTTTCCGTTTCCCTCCTTTTCATCTCCTGTTGCAGAGTCTTACGTACAAGCTCTATTCAATCGGACTACCTGACTGGAACGAGCGGGATCGAGGCTTGCTCCGGTAAAGGAGTCGACAAGAGTATTCATCCTGAGCAATGATGACGAGAATACTGGTAGCAACGAGTCGTAATGTAAGCAGCTTCAACCTCTGTACTGTGGCCCAGAGAGGTGGGGTGGAAGAAAGGCTCGACAGTACTCATGCACTGGGCAGACGAAAGGAGACAAGGCGAGAGGTTTCGCGACTGAGAAATGATAGAAAAGGAAGAGAGGAGAGAGGACCAAGACAAGTGAAGCATACTGTAAGAATACACACTCCGAGACCTGACAGTGACGACGCCCTTTACTCCCCTTCCACGTCGATTCTGTGCAGTGGTACAGGATCGTGATCGTCTTCGCGTTGCCGGAGAAGAAATCCAGGGTGGAAAATGTTGAGCGTGAGCATGGCAAGAAGAATCATCAGACCGTCAAGGATGACTGAAATCGAGTACATTGAGTCAGCGTCGTTGTACAAGCTATACAGAAGCTGGAGACGCACCGAAATAAATCTCTGTCCTGTGGATTTTACCGAACCAGCCATCCGCGAGTTCGACGACACGGTAGACAGACCTGGATGACTATGGTCAGTATCCTTATCGTATGGTCAGTAAAAGGGAAGGATATATACCTAGTAAAAAGATAGATGTCCATCTGGGCCAGTCCCCACAGCATGAGCTTCACGCGACTCGAGAACACGGGCTTAGTCGGTCCCATGGCCTTAGCATGTGCATGATTGACAGGATTATTCTTGTGATGACGGAGAAGGAACTCGACCCCCATGAGGGAGTAGATCGTGAGCGAGACGAGTTGGAAGACAACACCGGCAAGCATAGTATGAGATCCCTAGATAACGATCGGAAGTTCAGCAAAACTGTGAGGTCCGAAAGGAGTGCATGATTGGATTTTAGAAGAAAGTTTAGACGACGTACCGGCTTGGGGTCATTACCGCTCTTGACTGCCTTCGCGGCCATCCCACCTCCAAGTGTCTGGATGATCAAAGCGACGACATCCTGAATGAATGGTACAGTGTGAGTCGCGGGTGATGAAAGAACAAACAGGACTGAGACACTGACAGCGGTGAGGAAGATTTGGGAGTCTGCGAAGCAACGGTAAGCGACAAGGCGAAATCGAGCACTAGAGAAACAAACTTACACCGCCTAGGGGACAATCTGCTGAACTGCTGTCCACCACGAGCAACGATACGAGAGAATATCATGAAGTTGGATGCAACCAACGGCGTCGGTGCCATGATCAGTAGCACCGTCCTAGCCACAGAGTCAGCATGTCGAGTTCTTCTGGAGGCGAGATAGTAGGCATACTGAATCAGAACCGGTGTCTGTAGAGTTGGATCGTAGGCCGACTTTACACGAGCGGCCCATCCGACCAACTCGATGAGACCAGACAAACATACTGTCGGAAGGAGCCACCAAAGTTTGTATTTGATACTCTGGCCTGCATGGACGACTGATGCTGACAGTCAGACGGTCGCGTTGCATGAGTACGAAGTGTCAGGACGTACCGGTAGATAAACCGAAGAGCACGCATGCCACGATGCCAATAGCTTTGCTGGGCACATAACCATAGTAGGCGGTTTGTGGGTCAGTGCCACCGCTGTAAGCTAAGACGACGATAGAGTGAGCGCGATGGATTCGGAGGGAGAGAAAAATATAGGGCTCACACATGGCAACCAGTGGCAGTGTGGGGAGGTTGTGTGACGAGAGGAGGGGATGAAAAAAGACCAAGACGTTAGAAGTTCAAAGGAGCAGGTATGGTAGGCCATCGAGCGACGAAGCCTAATAAAGAGGAAACACTTGGGTGCCACCGCTTAGGGTCGTAGTGTTCGAGCACGTGCCCTGGGAAGCGCCCGATTCCGCAAAATGGTTTCCGATTTCGGAGCCTTTGAGTTGTCCCCATTTGCTCGGCACGCTAGTACAGGGAACCATTCGCTCGGCACAGAGGAGGAACAGGGCCAGACGTGTGGATGCAATTTGAATCCATCTGCAAGTGAAAAAATTGCGCTAGGCCGTGTCAAGGCACAAAACTGGGGGGCGGGGCGGCCCGCAAAACGCCCTGGAATTGGACAAGACTTGGGGGCGATACATACTACGGTACCGATGAGGAGTCGACGTGATAACTCACCCGCTGCTATCGTGTGTACTGTATTGGTCGTGGCCGCGGATTGAGACGCATCGACATCGACTGCTAACATCTGCGCGGATGGTCTTGGATCCCTAACCGGTGCACGCTTTTCGCTACCCTGCGGTCACTCTGACGGCCGAATGCAGGACGGAAGGTCAGTATTTAAGTTCCTTGGCCTACTTATCTGGGGTAGTACAGTATGTGACCGAGACGATAGCAAGGTCATTTGCTTTAAGGTGCATTTTATATCGAGGAAAACCTGGATCGGATAGCTACTTATACGGCACTTCATGAAGAGCGTTCATTTCGAGAGACTGAGATTGGCCACAGCGCTCCGAGTGCGCTCAAGCAGTAGACTGCGCACTGACCGAGGGTTCGAGATGGTCTAGCAGCCGCAGCTGGGAGTTAGGGTCAAGGCGAAGCTGTGGATCAACTACATGTGCGAGAGAGACCAAGCCGTTCAAGAGGCTCAGAAGGGGGAAAAAAGGGAGTGATAATAAAGGGTTTTCTTCCCACCCTGGGATTGGTTGGTCGGAATATGCCGATACACACGTGTCGTATATTTATGGCAACAGATATGATTTTCTCGTGACTTCCGTTCATACCTGACCTCGAGTGTCGTTCTCCTCCGTTGTCCTAACTTTCTCCTAGTACACCGTCGCTCCGTCGGCCTGGAACTGTCACTTCAGTAGAGGAGATCTAGTCTCCATCCCCACATAAGTCAAGGTTTCGTCTAACGTGAAATTCACCAACATCTCACACTGTCGCGGCGGCTAGCATGGCACTGCGGCTCTGGCCCAAGATTCAGCTCTATTTGACTCTGAGAACCACCCACTAGCTCGCCAGCACCGTTATTGACTACTTCAGATTCTACTGGACGCGATCATTGTCCCGAAGTAACAGAGACACAGTTCGGCTCGACGTCGTGCCTTTGCCCTCTGAAGCACTCGGATGATCATTGGGTTCTGTGCTGGGCAATTATGACCAAAGACACGATGATCCGTGCGCTATACTTGTGACTTTCGTGTTCGAAATATTTGTCGTGCCATTGATTTACGATAGAGATGAATTCTTGCCACACGAATTGTCTTCTCACGAGTGCGCGCCTCACGCGAATGCTTCGGTCGTCGGAAGACATTGAAGTGTCATTGGTCGCAAGAGAACGCTCTGTGCCTTGTCGTGACATTATGACCCATGCTTCTGTTCTACATGGTCGAAGGTGATAAAGCATGCTTGTACATCACGTTGTAAACGATACACCGAAGAATAGCCACGAAGCCGCCTCCCCTCACCGCCACAGACCCCTTCCCCTCCTCTGTGCAGATAAAAATAATACGGAGGCCAGCATTATCATCTTGTCGCATTACACTTATAGGTCTCTCCTTGGACAATAACCTTCTCCGTATTCTCAAAGTCCGACAGTGTACTGTCGTCTCTGGTTTTATATGGCTTATTCCTCGGAAGCTCTGCGGATCTCTTTCCGGTATTCCGAGCGACAATGTACCGCTCGGTAGCACCGATGGGTCACTATACTCCGTTGCCGCCTGTTCAACCCACTGATCTTCTCGATCCTTTGAATCATCTTTCACTTTTTTGGGCTATTCTAGGCATGGTAGCCACTATCGGACCTCGTGGAATCCACTTCACTCTCTTTTCGTCGCGGACCATGGCACTTTCTCAACTCGAACCTTCACGTATATAAGGGCTCCTCAACCCCACTCTGCCCGTTCCTTAGGCCTCACTTCCACATCGGTCATCCGACATCCGGTCGCCCTCTTCCTACGTATTTCAAACATGTTCTCTTTCGTCGTACTTCTGGCTGCTGCTGCAACTTCTCTACCGAAGGCTCTCGCTCATGGAGGTGTCTTGAGTTATTCATGGGACGGAGACTGGTACTGGGGATGGCAGCCGTACGACTCGCCTACCGGTCAGACCACCATTCAGAGGTCTTGGTCGTCCTAGTACGTCCTCGATATATATATTCGTACTGTCCTGTCGAGGGGGAAGTCTAAATGAGATGTTTATTCACCACAGCAACCCGATTACGGATCCCACGGACCCCACGATCGCCTGTAACGTAAGTCTCAAATGCTTCTCTAAACCACCAGTGTAGCACTCATTATGGACGGTGATTGCAGGATGATGGTACCTCCAGTGCTCTTCAACTCACTGGAACTGTTGCTGCGGGTACTCCGATCACCGCGTACTGGAACCAAGTTTGGCCCCACCCGTACGGCCCCATGGTAAGTATTGCTTCATATAATTAATCTCCCTCATCATTTCGTCTAATGACCTCTCCTCGCGCTTCCAGTTGACCTACCTCGCCAACTGCGGTGGTTCCACTTGCACTGGCGTCGATGCTAGCAGTCTCCAATGGGTACGCATCCTGGTACTTTATCCGATTTGACTGCCTCTAATGCTCGCCTCGACGTGATATAGTTTAAGATCGATGAGTCCGGTCTCATTAACGGCACGGTATACGATGGTGTCTGGGGTGATGGTGTTATGATCGCTCAGAACTCTTCCTGGACCACCACTATACCGTCGACCGTTCCTAGTGGTAACTACCTCATCCGTTTCGAAACCATCGCTCTGCACTCTCTCCCCGCTGTGCGTATTATATCTAACGCCCTTTCACCGATATATCATGAGATGATACTGATGTATTCCTCGCGTAGCAATTTTACCCCGAGTGTGCTCAGATCAGTATCACCGGTGGTGGAACCCTCGAGCCTACCGCAGACGAGCTCGTCACCTTCCCTGGTGCTTACAGTGCCTCTGATCCTGGATGTATGTCCTCACCCTTCATTTCCTATGAACATCACCGACACGCAGGTCTGACGTTTTGTACAGTGACCGTCGATATCTACAGCAACTCTGCTCAGACTGAGACGACCTACCCCATCCCCGGTCCTCCCCTCTATGGCAGCTCCGTCTCTTCATCCTCTGCCCCGGCTGCTCCGTCGTCCACCGCTTCTGTGAGTGTCTATTCTTATACACTAATATATATCACTACTCAATCATGATCCTTCGATGCTAGTCACCCGTCGGTAGCTCTTCTGCCCCAGCACCCACGTCATCTTCGACTGGCTCCGCGGGAACAGTCGCTCAGTACGCACAATGCGGTGGGCAAGGGTACACCGGTGCTACGGCTTGTGTGTCGCCTTACACTTGCCAGGCCGAGAACAGTACGTCTTTTGGCCCTTGACCCCATCCCTTGCAATCGGGTTATTATTGTTATAATTAACCGCCACTCGCTTCGTATCAGGCTACTACTCCCAATGCTTGTAAAAGTTGCCGCAGGGGTAAATGCCTGCTGAAATCATGGGGTTGATCATACTGTACTCCGAAGGAGACGTTTTCGGTACAGCGTCTCAAGCTCAGGCGGGCTTCGTTATCTTTTCCTTTTATTGCCGTTGATATTGATGCTATGCGTGATCTGTGGTGACCTGCTTTTTGTATCCATTTGAGCTGAATGTGAGCCTTCGAGAATGTGTATACAGTATTCGTGTAGAAATCAGTGTTTGAAGTCGTGCTACGTTTCAGGTGTCGAGTACGTGTATTGAGTATCGAGGTCGAGGTACTCCTGTAAGCTAGGTCTTTGAGCTTTTGCCTTGTTCGATGTTGATATCCTTCGCTACGTTTCCAATGCGCTATCTACTCAGAGTAAGGAGACGGAAAGTGTCAATTCGGCGTGAGAGGTCGGATCGTCAGCTTTGCAGACACGTCGTCAAGTTCGAAAAATTTTCAGTCACCACGCAAATCTAACCTAGCTATTTGGATGGCAGGAGTCTCTCTCGAGTGTTTAAAGTATCATTCACTTTGATTCGAGTACTTATATCCGGATTACCCTATGTTAGCTCTAGGCTTGGTCGCCGTCATAGTATACCTTAGGGACTCCTCGTTTCTCTTCCTTGCGTACCACCGTTCTCTTGTTATTTAAAGCTTGGCTTATAATACCACGATACCTGCGTTTTCGCCCGATGTTTTGGAAGCCTAGTATATAGCTTCTATACTACCGGGTACATGTAGGACAGTTTCCCTCCTTCCTTACCTCCTCCAACGTCTGCTGGAGTCGGTTTCCTATTGCTCCTCTCGCAAGTGCTCTCGCTTATGGAGGTGTCTTGGGTTGCTCTTGGGAGAGGGCAATGATAATCGTTTCGTCCTTTTTTCCCGTTCAGATCTGACGACTGTGTCCGTTTATCGGACACCTGTGCGACTGGTTTGAAGAAGAGAAATTCTCGTGTGCCTGCTCCGAGATGATCACTGTTTCAGCGCTGTTTCAGTCGTTTTTTGTCATTCGCGATACCTGTTTAACCATCTATTGTGCCACACTGTCCTTGTACCCGATGTGCTTTGTCTCGATCATATATAAATCCTACGGCACACTGAGGCGCGCAAGTACCCGACTAACCCGACTCCACCGTGCTGTAGTGTAATCCTCCCGAGCTGAACATTAGAAATCCAGCAGCTCTCGTTTATTTCAACGGAGTGAGTGGCTTGCCATCGCACACCATCGCTAACAAAAACTGATCGTATAAGTAAGTTTCATATATGCACCGTCGTTGCGAGCAGGTCTCAGCAGGACATCGATGTTGTGTTAGCCTGAGTCCACCCTCTCTCTATCTCAGTCTTCCAGCGTGGACGTGACTCTCGAATTCTTTGAATATGGCCTCACAGGAATCACCTGTCGTACATCTCTGCCTCGAACGACCAAAAATACGCATCGATTATGGGACATTGAAGGGATCGATCCTCTGAGTGAATGGAAGCTGTGGGTCAGTGCACAGGAGTTGGCATGGGGAATTGCTATGGAGACTCTCGGCCAGCTTAAGAGAGGCATTCAGAGCGATTCGCAAACCCAGAAGTCTGACACGGACGGGGAGATATCTGGTCTTTGGATCCTATTCTGAGCATCTTACGTCGGGTGTCGTATGTAGTAAAGGGAAAACGACAGGCCCTTGCGTATTCATTTGATCATGGCGAAGATATGTATTTCAGTCATCGGACGAGGGCCCAAACTGGGTCCTGGCATGGGCGATCCTTCGAGTCCTGTGCCAGGGTCGGTGAGTTTCGTAACGGATGTAGTGGAGGTCATAGCGTGAATACGTGAGGGTAATCTTCCGAACCGATTGGTGTCTTCTTTCAGTCATCTTTTCCTCTTCAGGACTCCTATCTCGCCCACTCCCCTCGAGCCAAGCGCCCTGGATGTCAGGTTGGCAAGAGTACGAGAAAACTGTCGTATCGTGAGTTGCTGAATCAATTAGGGATAGAATTGTGAAAGGGGGGGGGGGGGTCTCGGCGGAGGTGAACTATACATGACGGATCTGTGTTGTCCATATAGTTTTGGACGAAAGCTTATGATGACGACCAAGGAGGGGGAAATATGATCGGGAGGGGCAGTATAATGATGGGAGTGGAGATTTCGGCGACGCACTTTGACATGTCTCAGTTCGACCTCTGTGAGCATGTGTCCGCGTTGCCGACCCGGACAACGACTGTGTCTCCCTTTCATGACAGTGGCCCATTGTTCCCTGGACACAGCGACGCCTATAAGTACTCAGACCAATAGCGAGAAAAAATGAATGCTGCACGTCTTCTCTCTGCACTGAGACTCACCTAAGTCTGTCTTTCCAAGATGATCGCCTTCTCGAAGGAAGAATTCTTCGGAAAAGCACCGTTTGAACGGCCAGAGCCACAAACAGACAATTCAAACGATTCCGCGCGTACGTCGTATTACCTTTCTCATTCTTCGGCCACAATCATCTGTGGTGAGCTGACTTCGGATCCCCACTTTATTCAGCGACGACCATTCCGCCCGACAAGGGAGCTATTGCAGATGCGAGTTCAGTCCCGGAACATCCCCTCTCACTCGGCCTGACAATAAACGAAGACGGCACCTTCGGTCTCGTCGTAGAGCCCAACGTACCCTCTTCCAACTACCGAGCTTTCGAAAACCCAGACGAGAAGCTCTATAGCAAACGTCCCCACTACTTCGTCCGCACCGCCCCCTCTCCACAAAGCTACCCAGTCCACAAGCGACACTATCTATGGAACACGTACCACGAAAAGTTCCAACACAACCCGATGGGATGGAAATTGCTTTCGGGACGGAAGAAAGGTGGTATAGATATGCCGGTCGCTGTTATTCGACTGGACTGGGTCCTTGCGGGCAGAAGAGAGATCTCTCCAAACAGGCGTGAGATAAGTGCGCTTGATTTATTAGAGGGACTGCCGGGTACTCCGGCTTCGGATACCAGTTTCGGGATAGCAGACGAGCAGAAAAGACAGTCATTGCTATCTATGACCGAGGGAGAATGCAACGTCAACGGTCTCCTAGACGTTGAGCCGGGCATCGACGTGCTTCCGTCTCTTCACTTGGCTCTGAGTGCGCTGAGGCGGATGTATCTCCCGGGGGAAGACGACACGTCCTACAGCCCTGGGATCAATTTCGACCTGTACGCGGGGGAGAAACATCCTGGTGGTCGTGCACTGCTCCAGCTCGAAACGGTTCGTTGGAGCGACCATATCGTCGAAGCGTTGAATGTGTTCGCGAAGGTAGCACAGAAACTCTTTCCGGATAAGATGGCGAAGGGACGTTGTACGGTCTGGAATTGGGGCGACGTGTGGTGGGAGTATAAAGATTGGAGGGATCGGTGGCCGCACAAGAACGAGCGGAAGGGGGAAAAGGCGGTTGTGGAATTTATGACGAGGATGAAAAGTCATGAGGTAGGTGAGCAATCGAGGTGGTTGTTTTTACAGTAAGGAGAAGTGTCGTTGGTGTATGTGTTGCTTGTACGTTGTTACTGTTTCGGCTCGATATACCGTCCAAGGAGCATAGTGGATAAACTCCAAATGCAATAGAGAACTGCAGAAAGGACTCAAAGAGCTCAGACTGACGTTCCGAGGAGGGGAAAAGCTCGTAACTATCGGTCGTTTCTTAGGCCAGAAGTGCGTCGCGGGACGAAGATACATAAGGGTGAAAAAGCGCGCGAAGAACCGAGATGCGATGGCCAATCAAAATACAGCCTGATGATCAGATCACGGTAGGAGAGGCTATCAAGCAGATGGGTCGAATGCGATCGCAGGATAGACGGACCAACATCTGAGAGGGCGTCTACATAGTCGGATATGTCGGCCACGTATACATATGTGTACGGTCCAGCGAGCTCGAGAAACGATTGATGATAGGAAAGACCGAAAAGATGAGGACGACTGGTTTGGAACTGCTGTGCCCAAGGAGGTGTGTTTACTACACGCGAGTTTACTGCGGTATGAAGTGAAGAAAAGGAGAAAGGCGACGACGCCAGCAGCATGGAAAAGGCGCAGTCGAGCCCAAGAAAACAATCTAGCGCCGATCGAGCCTCGTTGTGTGAGCAAAGCGCTCAAAGCGATGAGAGACGGGGAGAACAATCCGTAGAGAACGTCGAGGGGAGTTTTCTGCCTGGGTCAAAGCGAAGGATAGTTGGTGGAGGAGGAAGAGATGCTTGGCCAGCTTCGCTCCCGAAAACGAGCCAAATTATCGGGATCAGATCACGAGGCGAGCCAAAAATAGGACAAGCGCAGTGGGTGGTGACGTCATCAATTGCTACATCCTCTCTATCGCATTTTCGCACCGCCAACTTGGAGAGAGCAGAGCGCGCAGCCGCCTGCTGCAAATGCAATCTCTCCTTTGACAGCTCTTTCTCTTCCTCAACCTCATCCTCCTCTTTGACCTCGCCGCTCTCGCCGTCCCGGAACGATGGCCTTCCTGAAACGATCCTCACCTTCGTCGCCATACACGCCTCTCCCGACTACCACCTCACCAACGCTGCCCAACTCGCCAGCTCCCCGCCGCTTCCCGCTCGTGCCCAGCCTCCGACGATACTCAAAACGACACGGGCTGTCCATACTCGTCTTTCTCGCTCTCTCAGCCTTTGCATATCTCTCCTTCTCCACTTCAACGTCCTATACCACATCCACACCACAACCAACACTCACTTCTGTACCTACACATGACGATGAATCATCGACAGGCGTCCCGCTGCCTGACATACCATTACCGGATTTCGACGACAACAGGCCGTCAGAAGACTCGAATCTCGATAGCTTGCCTCCTCTCATCTCGGATATCGAAAGCGATTCGGATACGCCACCATTACCGCTCCCGGTAGAGAACACGAGCGAACCGCCACTTCCTCTCCCCGTCGAGAATCCTCCCTCCTCCTCTGATCCCTCCTCCGAACCACCACCCTCATCAGATCCCGATGCATCCCCTCCCTCCGACTCGGATCCTCCACCTCCTCCGCCCCCGGAACCCGTACCCGAACAAGCACCCGAGCCCGACCCATTACACACCGACCCCGACGTGCGACAGATCCAGGAATGGATCATGGCGCATCCAGAGGCGAAGCTGCCGCCGACGTACCAGGCGTATAGGTTGAGAGAGGCGAAGATGGTACCTGGGAAGGAGGACGTGGGAGAGCAGGGGGTTTCTGTCAGGGAGAAGTTCTTCTTTCCGGAGAGGAGAGTCTGGGGTGCGTACCCTTTCCTTTTCTTCTTCATCGTTTGTCTTGGTTTGTTCTTGTCTCCTTCATATTCTTCGTCAAGACTCTCTTGAGATTGTCTTGTTGCTGTGGGCTCCTGGAGTTTCATCTTGACGCCACATCTGTCCGAGTGCGGCGTACCATCGTTTCCTCCCACTCCACTCTTCTTGTCTGTGGTGTGAGACGACCATATACTCACACCCACGTCGCTTCTCGCAACGTCGGCTGTTTTCTTTTCTTGTCGTCCCGTGCAGTGGTCGCTCTAGCCTCGACCCAGTCAGAGTTCTATATCCAGTCTCGACGCCACCCATATGCGCTTTCATAAACCTGTCAACCCATCCTATTCTCGTCCTCGACGTGGCCTCCAGTCGTCCCGATACTCACGGGACCTCATATCCCGTTCTGCGCCCGTTCTGGAATCTCACAAGGCCATTGCGTCTCGACTTTGCCAGCTCACTTTCAAGTCAGTCAGTAGAGTGGACTATGGCGTCTTGTGTTGTCCTTGAACTCGTGCAGTTCCATCTCGAATGGAGGGATGACTTTGATGGCGGGTGTTCTGCGGTCAGGACCGTGGTTCTGCTGCCTCCATACCTCACGCCGCTTTAGATGTCGTTCTCACTGCTTCCATGCACCGTCGTACTGGGATATCTCCCCTTTAGCGATGACACACTCTCTGCTCATGCTGCTATAGCAGCACTTCGTGCTCGATCACCACGATGCTGGTGCTCTTTCGTACAGTAGCATCTTCCAGTCTCTCGGCTCTGCCATTCGAGCGTCCGCATGCCCGAAGTATGACCAGATCCCAAAAACGCCGGGTATACTCAAAGTTGGTGCTATGTAGATGAAATCTTTCTTCGCTTTGATGTCTGCCCATTCTAGCTTTTTGATGGAGATCCGCTCGTCCTCGTTACTTGCATCTCATGATATCCGAAGAGTGCGAGTCCGACAGCGCATATATTGGACAATTATTCCAAGTCGGACGCATATATGCGCTGGACTAGGACGTGCAGAGTCACCGGTCCTCTCGTTGCATGTCTCTTTTTCGGTGTGGCGTGGCGTGGTGTGCTCATCTTTTTTTTGTGAGTGAGGCCCATCACATCCGGACAGTGCGAAGGCGCATATGTCGAACTGGATTCGAAGTTGTGCGCATATATGCGCTTGTTGGTGATGGGATAGAGTCCTGAATGAGATGTCATTCTCGTTGTATACCTCGTTCTAGGTGTGGCGTGACGTGGCGTGGGCGCTTTTTTTCGAAAGGACCACCATTGTTTCGATGAGGAGAGAAGTGTTTGGCTCCAGCGCTACTCACCCAGAGAGCGCGATGGCGCATATATGGACGTGTCAGTGACGTGTAGAGTCCCTGATGAGATGCCCTTCTCTCTCGTTGCATGTCTCATTTCGGCCGGTGTGGAGTGGCGTGGCGTTGCGTGGTCACCTTTCTTTTCGAAGAGAACATCGTTTAACTCAATGATGAGAAGTATCTGATCCAGCATTGCTCACTTTATGATTCAAAGCGTTTGCTTGTGGGACGTTACGAGCCTCCATGCAGTAGCAGCATACGTGCCTATCCTGTCACTATCGCGTCGGGCTAAATTTCAAGTTAGCATATATCGAGAGCACAGAGCCGTCACCGATAGTTGATTCGTCAGTCCATCAGAATTAGGATGGCGTGTGGCCGTTTGTTGCCGTCTATAAGTGTCAGAATGAAAGTGATTCAGTGATTCGTGCGTTATCGGGAACTGGAGGCGCATATATGCGTTTTTCTTCTTCTTCTTTTTTTTTTCCTGTGAGGTGTTCGAGTGCGCGATTTCATTTCGCTCTTGCTTTCAGTTGGCAATATTTTCTCAGTTTTCGGCCCTTGCGGATATAATTCATTCCTTTTTTCCTTTTCGTATGCGAATAATTGTTAGGTCGCTCACTCATACTGACTTACATATATCTATCCATTCAGGTCTCGGTTGGGGAAATGCCGTCCAAGAGCTTCTCCTGAACGCCCTTCTAGCATGGAAAAGCGGCCGAACGTACGTCTTCCTTTTCTCCTTTTCCCTACCGCGACACACGCACTCATTTTCTCCACGCCACAGCTTCGTCTGGGACGATTACCTTTGGCACTACAAAGACACCCTCCACTTCTCACTCTACAACAACAAACTGATCCCCTCCCGCGTCCCCCTCTCCGCCCTCATCTCCGGCTCCATCCTCGGCGAGATCTACCCCGGTCAACGCCCGCTCTTCCCCCGCTTCAAATCCGTACCCCGATCGTATTTCGAGAGTCAGCGCGTCTGTGGCGGAAGGGTGCATAGGATCAATAATGAGGAGATTACGGAGGCGGTGTATAAGGAGGGAGGCATCAAGGATGTTAGTGCGGGAAGGTTTTTGGAGGGGTGGGCGGAGAGGTTGAGGGGGGTTGAGGAGGAGTGTGTGAGTAATGGAGGGAGCGCGGGGCAGATATTTGATTTTTGGTGCGCTTTTCACTCTCCGGCTATTGGCGCACGTGATTCTGATTCCTAGGCTCGTTCCAGGATCTGGGGCGGAAGGAATATCTACGATTTGTGGCCTATTTTGCACAAGTCACCGGTCCTGACCGGGTTCGGATCCTCGCCACTCGTTCTCCTCGCCTTCGAAGCAAACAAACATCTCCTCGACCTCCCCCCATCACCCTTCATCGCCCCCTTCCTCCCCAAACTCCAAGTCCCCGCCCCACCACCTACACAACCCCACGACCCGTCCTCCCTCTCCTCCTCCAACCCCTCCTCCGACCTCTCCCTATCTCTATCAACCCCACATCCCCCAATCTCCTACATCCCCAACGCCTTCCCCTCCTCTTACCTCGCCTCCGCCCGCCTCTCCGAATACACCCCCATACCCGGCTTACTCGTCCTACACATCCGCCGCGGCGACTTTGAGGAACATTGTAGGAACCTCGCGGGGTGGGGCGTGCTCTGGCAGGGATTCAATATGATGGTGCAGGAGGGGATGAGGGATGGATTGGGCGTGTTGTGGAGTGAGAGTGGTGCGGAGGGGATGGAGGGGAATAGTATGGTTGGGTTGGATCATGGGGCTGTGCAGGAGGAGGAGGAGGCGGCGGCGAGGATTAAGGCTGAGTCTGAGTTATCTCCTTCCGCAGATGTCAACGAGGAGGACGATATGGAGGAAACTGTAAGAAACGGGAATGCAGCTCGTGCAGGCGGGCCTTTCCAATCGCCCAAAGGCCGCCCAGGCTCGAATCAAGTCCCCTCCTCATCAACCGGCAAGACCCGATCCTACACAGGCCCCATGCTCGGTTCCCCTCCTCCCCTCCTCTCCCATCCCGACCGCGAAGCGAACTACCTCTCTCGGTGTTATCCCTCCATCTCAGGAATCGTGCAACGCGTAAGGGAGGTAAGATGGGAGTATCCGAGGTTGAGGAGGGTTTATGTGATGACGAATGGGCCGGGGGAGTGGGTGGGGGAGTTGAAGAAGGAGTTGATGAGGGATTCGGAGGGGCATGAGGGGGTGTTTGGGGAGATGGATAGGGAGGAGAGGAGGAGGCTGAGGGAGAAGGAGGGGAAGAGTCGGGATGGAGATGAGGAAGAGGAGGAGGAGGAGGAGAGGGAGAGGGAGAGTGTGGGGCCGTGGGAGGCGGTGTTTAGTAGTCGGGATTTGGTCCTGGATTGGGAGCAGAAATATGTCGCGCAGAGTGAGTCTTCCCTTCCTTCCTCCACCTCTTTTTCTATCCGTCGTACTGACGTCCCATCTATAGGCGTAGACATGGCCATCGGCGCCCGCGCAGACGTTCTGATAGGGAACGGATGGTCCTCGCTCACCGCACATATAGTGATGCTGCGAATGGGACACGATGTGGAGAATGAGAGGAATCGGTTCTGGTAACGCTTTTCTCGGGTATCATTTATCATACTCGTCCGCTTTCTACACCGGATATATGACGAGGGTTGAGGTGGACCGGTGGATTGACGACGACGCACACGCATGCATGCATTCTTTTTCTTGGTCATACTGATCGTCATGTTCATTGGTTTTGCTTCGGACTACTTTAAATCCTAATTGCATGGGTCTCGGATTTTATTCACGATTCACGGATTACGTGGACTTTAATCGCTCGTTTTCATTCGTTTCGTTCTTTCATTTTATTGGATTCTGTTTCTGCCTCTTTCTATCGCTGGGGCGATCTCACCGCCACCGTGAACTGAGGTCAGCGCAGACGGTCGACGGGTGGCGGTGGCGCTTATGGCGTGGGTACTTCTCACTTTGGGTTCACTCATCCTCACCTTGGGTTCACTCACCCTCACAGGCCTAAGGCTACAACCTACACGCGAATTCCAGGAGAGACGACTGGAGAATCTGCAGCTCTCCTAACGACTCGCGCTCACGACTACACCGCGTCCACCTGGCAGTCAAAACAAACACAATCTGGCGACCGATGAAACTATATTGCTTTTCTATCAAAGCGCAACAGGAGATACGATACGTGAGACCTTCATCGCTTCAGAGACTCCATTACCAGCCTGCCTTCATAACGTAGGACACGGAATCATGAAAACATATACAAGACAAGACATACACCCTTCGAATGCCACAGATTTTCTCTCCCCAGCCACGATGACGCCTTGTGTGTCTTTCCCTAACGATCAGGAGCGCATCTAGGCTGGTTTCTTCGGGTGTTGGTCTTTTCGCTTTGGTTTGACGAGCTTTCTTGGAGAATGCGGACTCGGAGGTGCCTTGCCTTTCATCGTGTTTTGGTCATTGTTTGGACCGCTGGGATCTCCTGTTGAAGAGGCGGAGAACATGCTAGCAGGGACCGATCGTACTGACCCTTCGAAGAATTTGCTCTTGACAAGCTTAAGGTTCTCGTGGAGGAAGAAGGGTTAATAAGAGGGACGATATACGGGAAGAGAACATGATCACGATGCTCACTTCGCGGGCTCTTTAGGCTTCCTTGGCTCCTCAGCATTCGCTGTCCCAACGCCCTTTGTCGTCGCCGTCACCGTCGACGGCGGAGAGGGAGGCGGTAGATAACAGAAGGGGCGTCACGGTCCCAGTGATGGTTTGCCTTTCATAATAACGTCGTGCTTATAATGAGAACCCTGTCAACGAGGAAACCTCAGGAAGATGGGACACTTCCTCGTTAGCGTTCATGTGTAGTCATAGTGTGAAACAACAACTCGAGGAGCCAGAGTAAGTATCGCTGCAAGGATTCGCTATGTTTTCGCAGTTCTTCTGCCACGTGTATAGGGCGCTTACTTACGCGTCGCTACACTGGGGGCCACAGTGCATGGGCCTTCGAGGGGATGTGGTGTTCAAATTGTGGATCATAAATATACATGGTCATGAGGAACGCGTAGAAAGGAGTAGTGATACAATGGCGGCGCATGAAAGTCCGAATGGTCAAAGGAATACAAAATAATTACATGAATTCGAAAGATTGGTGGGGGCGTCTCGTGTCCATGAAGATCTATGTCAAAGCCAACGCACACCGAGCGTCAGTATGCGAGAGCGTGAGGACGTTCTTCGCAGACGGTACTCACTTTCACTGTATCAGGAAGCCCCCCAACACTCACTCGTTCCTGAAAGTACCCTCATCGACGCCCCAACGCAGCCTGTCGTCGACTCGGACATAATCATCTCACAAGTCCGGTCATACGATCACCCAGGAGTCCGATCGCTGACGCTGAGGGCGTTTCTTGAGGCGTGTTGATGATGAGCGGATACCGGTTTTGCGAGCGCGTGAGCCTCTGGGCGGGGTCGGGGGAGGTGTAGCGACAAGCTCGAATCCCGGTGGAAGTCGACTCTCCCGTTCTCTGCGGGCTGCTCGTGAAGTGCGTTTCCAGAGGTGAACGATGGCGCGTTTAATGGGATTTGGGGGTTGGCCGGAAGGCTGTGATGTGTGGATGTTTGCGGGACGGCGGCGACTGGGATATCTGAGAAATATTCGAGGAGAGTTATGACCGTCGTATAGTGGGAAATATAGAAACTCAGACGAAGAATACGTACTGATTGTTGTCTCTTGGCCTAGCGTTGTGAGTCCTGGAGGAAGCGGGCATCCTTGTAGAAGGTTGAACACCGATGAGAGTGAGAATGTTTGAAGAAAAGATCATGATATTCGTGCAGAAGGCGTTGAGTTCATAAAGTATCTAGGTCGTATCGTGGACGAAGTGCTGCATCCGCAAGTCTGGGGACGAGACCAGCAGGTCGTGGCAAATTACGCGTCTGAGGAGAACGAGGAGTCAGGATGACGTTAAACTTCGCCACTATAAGTACGCTGGTTGCTTTCCCTCGCCAGTGCGAAGTCTCGATAAGTTCCAGTGGCTCAGAACAAAGGAACTGCCCTGGCATAGTACCGCAATTGTCTTACTGAAGTGTCGGTTCCGCCACGGGAAAGAATCAGAAACGAGAACAAGGAAACGACACTGCTGGCGTCAACCACAGATCAATTACTAAGGACCTCGTACGGTCGATGTTTGATAAACAGACATCCGATAACCTTGGCAAAGACCGAGCAGAGAAGTGAGGAAGAAACAGGAAGGAGAGTGTCCGTGGATGGAGCGAAGGACGCAAGGAAAGACGCCTACTTTGAATTTGGTCTCTTGGCCCTTGGGGCCACGTGCGGTGGCAGTGGCTTGGCAGTGTGGTGATAATGCCACTGGCGCCACTCGCCCAGCGTGGCACACAAGCTCGGATCCCTCTTCGCTCCCCCAGGTTCCCCCTCGCGGAAGATTGATGAGTGTTACGTAAGGATATCGCTATTCACAATTCCTTCTCACTATAATGGTCAATCAAATGGTAGAAGATTGAAATCAGCGCAGCTGGATTAGTATATACAAACTCGTTACACATCCCTGTACACTCTACTTATACCGCAACAACCTTCCGAATACGAGACAAGCACCTGCCGAATTCTCTATAAGTACATTGGGGGGAGTGACTAGTGGTGCAAAAGAGAGTTGTCTCAAGCCGGCAGAGGCATGCGCCAAACAACGACTCGTGGCCTCCCAAGCGGGTCAAGCATCCCTCCTGCTTTCATGGACCCCTCATCCATGGCCTCTCCCCGGTTTATCACGTAGTACGTCACCTCTCCCATTCTACTACGCCTAAAATCAGCCTGAACGATTCTACCCATACCTCGTAAGTAATTGGCGCAGCCGTCGACAAGAGCACCGTGTTGCAAGTCTGGAAATGGTTTGGAAACCCATGGCATGAAGGCTCTTCCCAATTCGTGCACTATGGCGTCCGATACCAACGAGGCCGACGATAATACGGCAGGGTAAGCTTTCCCGACGATGCGTTCGATGAGATGTTCCAGCGTCGGCCGTTGATCGTCGTCCCGCGATTGTTTAACGAGACGAGAGACAGGGTAGATACCGAGAATTCTGTTCATAGAGGGTGGTGGAGCGTGTGGGCCAGACCATTCAGGTGCATACCGTCTGCTTGAGCCCCGGGAAGCGGGTCGTATGATGCAGTCGAAGCACTGTACGATCCGTCGATCTTCTCCTCCTCGAGTCACTGGATCGTTGACCAGCATGTAGATATCGCTGCACGTTCCTCGTTCGGACCAAGACATCGGGATCTCAGCATGCTGTTCAGAGGGAGACTGATGGGAGATTATCACGCCGTATTCGACAGGAGAGCTTTGAGTGTGTGTTTGGCTTGTAAGGATGACGATGCCGACATCGGCATATGCGGCTGGGGATAACGTTCACATCTTATGTGAGCCCGATTCTCCAAGAGAGATGTGATGAAGAGATGCATACGAGGATGTAAGGTGTCTGGCATATCGCCTTGTAATCGCAAAGGAGAAAAGGTCATTCTGGGAGAAAGCATTCTCAACAGGGTAGAATGGTAAGTGGTTGTGGGAGATGATAATCAGGGAGAGAAGAGGCGAAAACCAGTAGCCTTTTTGGCCTTGGACGTCCGTCCTAAAACCGTTTTAGGAACAAAGAGTGTGAATAATATGGAGGTTGGGTACTCCGGTCTAGACTCGACGCTCACCGGTTTGCGTGGCGAGAATGAAATTATCGCGGCACGCTAGAAGACATAATAATCGGAACGTAAATGTGAGGAAGGCGATAAGTAGTCAATTGCAATCAGAGCATGAGCAACAACGGATAATACGGTTGGGGTAAGGAAAGAATGCGGCGAGTCGCCACTGATACTTAAGCAGTGACAACACATCACGCAGCGCGTCGGAGCCTGTCGGAGCTCGAACATTTGACACATGATGTCATCCACTTATATCACTCTTTTGTTCCATTGTTCCCAAATTATTCCTTGTTACTGAATCGGTCAACCTTGTTCCTAATACGTTTATTCAGCAGCTCTCATCCATACATATTGTAGGTAATTTCTGGTCGACGTCAGAGGTTGGCCCGGGTACGATTATTTGGTAGCCTTGCGCCGGGCACCAACCGGGCACCCCACAGTGGCTGATCTTAGTGGGACGGTCCCAAGACCGTCCTGCTGTACCGGCTTTGGCATTCCACATCCTAAGTAGTCTCAAAGTCAAGACTCAAAGATTGAAGATGAAAATCGTTTCTCTTGATATTGAGCAGTTGAGACTATCAATGTCGAAGCCTAGCCACAAAAATATTGTGAGCAGTGACCACACCGCTAGTACTGTCACAGAGGACGTTATTTTGATCGCTTATCAGTTATTCAATACTATCTATGACGCTTTCGGTTGATCACGCCAAGCCTGATCGCAGGAGAACAACACCCGAAGTAGGAAAGACTAACAAGCTTTTGTCTCGGTTTTCGTTGGGCTTTCGCACGCCATCGGCCTGGCAGTATACTTATAACGGCTTCCTGTCCGAACGACTGGGTTTTCATCAACACTATCCTCACGGACTCGTCTCTCGAATCTCTAGACCAAACTCACATTCCCTCTGAAGAATTGCATCCTACCTATCAAGGTTCACCAATGTCAGCTGCAGAGGGCCATGACCGAGACCGAACTGTTACGCCGGCGAACCCCACATGTAAGCCCTTTATTTAAATTCACAACATCCCTCACTTCGGCTTCCCGTCCTAGCAAATTCTAAAAAATTAATTCAAAGCGGTAGCAGATCAAGTTGCCGTCGGGGTCATCGTCCTTGAGAGAACTCGAAACTTTGACACAAGGGACCTTCAAATGCCCCTCGAGTTCGGCATTATTCACAGAGACACTTCGAAGACTCTCACAGTATTTAATTCCCAGCAGTCTGTGTTCTTCTACCCAGGTGCCACGAGCACAGTTACTCGCCTTGTCATAGACACCGGGGGCAATCACAAAGTCGTCCGACACTCTAACATCGTCCTAAACCCGGCGACGCTCTCCCGTCAGGCGCCACAGTGGGCTAACTCGGCACGGCTACGCCAGGATATGACCGTACTTGGAATATACGACATCGCTACCTTTAGAATAGAACGCGAGGATCCATCAAAAAAACCCTCGGAAATCATCCTGAATGCCGTCCTCGACCCACCGCAAGTGCCTATCTATTGTTCCAGCGCAGAGTGGGCAGCGGCACAGGCTCATCGCGTGTGCCAAAATTTCTTCATGCCGTGGCTGAGCGTTTACCCTGCTCCCGCAACTGATAACAATATTTGTCCTCTTCGGATAAAATACTTGGAGAAGATCGGTAGGCTTATCCGTGATGATTATGCTAGACCCAGCAGGGGCGACGAAGCAGTATGCTACATCTCTGGGTCGTATGACCATTATTTAAAGGTGACAGAGGTGGGCCATATAGAGGGGCCCGAGAAGCGGATCCCTGTAGTCAAAATCTGGCGTGTCGAGCATGAGGTTGCGGAGACTGTGGGTTTCTGGTCTTGATAACGCTCGCTTCGAATTTCCCACATATCTTTTACGTATTATTGGAAACCTGTATTAGTATAGATCAATACCCATTGACACTGAAGAACTCCGCAGTACCGTCGCAGTCGTCAGTTATCCTCGGAGTGACAGACACGAAGGAGAGTGGAGTGGAGAGGCGGAAGGATTTTGTTTCATGGATGAATTCCTCGCCCCAGGCGAACGGTACGCCCAGACGATGGTATGTGAGGTGTTTCATGCCTCCTGTTAGTAATCCCAATTTTGCCTAGCACGCTCATCTCTGAGAGTATACCGGCATCACGACATAGTACCAGATCCCACCATACTGCGACCCAAATCCAGCACGTCGAATGATAGCAAATTTAGCCTGGGCATAAGATCATGGGAATAGATTCGCAGTGGATGACCTCTGAGGCAGAGGGGCAGGCTCTCCAATTGATAGACTGCCCCCACTTCACATATACATCTTGTCAACGGTCCATACTCGTCGAGCTAATTACCAGAGGATAGTATATCCACGTGGTGTGATTTTTGATTCGCCGAAGACGGTACAAACCCGTCGCAAACACGCGGAATGATGCTCAGGGCCAGCAGGATAGAGCGCGAGTGTGCTGTAGAACATAACATCAAAACTCAGACCTTCCTCGACGCAGGCACCTCTGCGTCCTTCGCCACCGTCTTGTCTGCAGCTTCGCCTACAAATGTGGGAAACCTAGTACACCCACCGAGAGACAATCAATTTGAGAAAAGGCGTTGTTTGACAAAATACAGATGAAACGCACCTCGGGACCCCATCCTTGGTCAGCTCTTGGAATCGATATACGATGATCGTCCCAACCTTCGGTGGTCTCGCTCGCTGCTTGTCAGATAGACCGCTTCCCACGGCAAAAGTCTATGAGTAAACAGAACAAATTCAGGTGCTTACTCGATCACGGAGACGATTGGATATTTTCAGAAGAAAACCGTACCTTTCCCGACGCCATCTTACATTTCAACGCCCCCGTCGAACCAGTATGCTTACCCTTGCCTGGAACATAACCAGTAACCTCGGCTTCGGCATCGAAGAACGTCTAAACACGGTACAACAAACATGAAGGAGTTGAGCATAATCTGATGGACACGAGACTAGAGTGGTCGCCTACCTTGATCTTCAACAACGTGCTGCTCCTCCGGCCCTCGTACTTACTCCCAGGTTTTCTCAACATCAAACCCTCTCCACCGTGCGCTTCGACTTCTTTGAGCATGTCGAATACGTGATCCTTGGACTCGGCACAAGTTTGATCCACAACGACGAATTCTTTCGAGTGGTATTTTCCACCTATATCGACAAAGAGAGGTCAGACATATTTATGAGGGGAGGATAGCGGGTAGACGAAATGGGCGGCACAGTATGAGAAGCAGGAAAAGGGATGGATCGCAGGCACATAGAACGTACCTTCACTAAAGTTCTCCTGGAGCCACTGCAGCCGATCCTCGAACGGCTCATTGCCCATCGACGGGACATCGAAGATCTGCACATAAGGCCTAAGTCAGTCTTCTATTACACCGTAAAGAACCAGGAAACCGAGAGTAGATGGATGGAGTGGACAGGGGATATATCGACAGAGATACGAGTGTGGACGAGGACTCAGAGGGGGGATCGATGATAGCGACGAACCTGGAACGTGATATTCTTCCATCCCTTAGACCCCATCGTCTTCACTATTCCAACCGTACTCTGAAACTCGCCCCTCCCACCGAACAACTCGCCATCCAGCGTAACGTCCTTCGGAAGTTCTAGTCACACGCGCCACACGAACCCACACAAATAACACCGGATCGTCAGTATGAATCCACAAGCAGAGAGCTGAATGGAAATAAACGAACTATCCATCCAGTCCTTCGGCACCATAAACGGATTGCCCAACCGACTCAACATAGCACCCTCCCTCCCCTCCCCACCCTTCGGAGCCCACAAAGTCCTCACCCCATCCAATTTCTCGCTCACCCACCATCCCGTCGGGTCCGTACTCTCCTCGTCCCACTTCACCGCCAGCAGCACCTCCGGAGCCTTTTTCTTCGCGGAAGGTATGGAGCCATTTCGGCCTTTGGATGTGGATTTGGTGGCGGTGGCGGCCGGGCCGTTAGGATTCTTGAGTTTGAGGCGGGCTTCTTCGTAGGCGTCGCCGAGGAGAGAGCGGAGGTGTTTGCAGGTACGGGCGGAGACGGGATGGGCGGATTGGTTTCGCCAGGCTGGGCAGGTGCTAGATGATACGCGTGGGAGAAACATTGTGGCGTCAGATGATATGGCGCAGAGACAGAGTGGCGCCAGAGGAAAGGGAGCGAAGAAGTGAAAGAGAGACGAAAAAGGTTAATGTGCGTACCAGTAGTAGTGATCCATGGTCCGCTTCACTTTGTACTTGGAAGAGCTGTACAACACGATAATGGTTAGTGTCAGCCGTTCATGATGGATATAAAATGTTAAGAAATATAAAAATGAAGATATGCGAACCTTGTCATTGAGCTGACCTCTGTCTCGTCGCCTTCCTTCATGAACACCTTGGGTTTGATCCCGTTGATCTCTTCCAATTCATCTTTCCCGTCCTCTCTATCTTCACCAGCGTCAACACCGCCATCGCCAACCTGCTCGACTTGATCCTCTTCGTGACTGTCGACAGCGATGTTGGCGTCGGGATCAACAGTATCTCTGTCTACGTCGCCATCCTGTTCCTCACCCTCGACGATGTCTTCAACCTTGGCTTGACCGCGCGCACTTCCGTTCATAGGACGAGCCCTCTGTGAAGCAGGCTTCTCTTCCACCACATCCTCGTCTTCCACTTCGTTCTTCGTTCTCTTGTTCGGCACTCTAGCGCCACCTCTCTCCCTACCAAGAGCAACGGTCGCAGGACGTTCACCAGACCTTCCTGTTCTCGTCCGCTTGGGAGGCCGTTCGTCACCCCCCACATCCTCATCTTCCTGCTCATCTTCCTCATCTCGAGCCTTTCTCTTCCTTCCCGCAGACTTGGTCTTCGTGGTCGTGGTGGATTTGGCGTCTTTCGACGTAGATGCGGCCTTGCCTTTGCCTTTCGCGGCCGGAACTTCGGAATTGGGATTCTTGAGCTTCAGACGTGCATCTTCGTATTTATCGCCGAGTATGGAGCGGAGGTGCTTGCATGTACGGGCGTTCACGGGGATACGAGCTTGATTGCGCCATGCCTGTGTTTAGGTAAAATTGGTTGTTCAGCAAAAGATAGGTTGGAGTAGGGGGAACGGTGGAAGAGGGGGATGATGTGGCGCTTACGGGACAAGAGCTGTACGGCGAAGGTCAAAGCGCGAGAAGATATGAGATAACGTCTATACTCGCATGGATACTCGAAGAAGAAGCATACCAGTAATAATGGTCAAGTGTGCGCTTGACTTTATAGACCGATTTGCTGTAGAAACCAGTAGACCGTAAGCGTTGTATGACTCTGTGGTATCAGAGCAGTTCAGCACACACCTAGACTGCGACTTCGCCTCGACCTCTTCTCCGTCCTCGAGCAGCCTATTGGGCTTTATACCATTGATGGACGCTAGCTCGTCCGACATTGTTGAACAATCCGAGTGGTGAGTGAAGCAAGTGTCAGAGAGCTGAGCCTATGCAAGTTCGTCGTCTGAGATGGGATAGAACGTCAAGAAAATCAGAGGTTTATATGAGTGTCGCTCGGCAGCGTCGAGTCAGAAAAGATGCGGAGTCGCAAGGCCGTCGTTGATGGCGGTGACAGTGATAATGACTCCTCTGAGAGGAGGAAGGACGCGGCGGTAGCGAGCCATGTTTTAGCGCCCGTTCCCGACGCGTCGGGACGTGTCAAATGATTTGTGACGTCACGCGTCGGGCGTCGGGATTGATTTCAAAATCAGATTCCCCGAGTCACGGTGGCCCACGAGCGACTTCAAGCTGTTCATCACCTCCATCATCGTTGTCTTCACTGTACACAGTCGCAGAGACTCTTGGAGATCACATAAGAGCTTGGTATATGTTGCTCCTGTAATGGTGACCTAGTGAGGCACTGTGCTTCACATTCTCACCGCTTCGTGCGGTGATTGTTGGGTGATTGGAATTCTTCTCAACAGGTCAGAGAAGTCACAGAGGAGGATTCACGTAGAGCACTCATAACCTAGACTGTAGTGATCCTCCTCAATGAAAGGGAGCTTGTACTGATAGGACTCGCTCGTTGCGAGCTAGACACGTACATCCAATGCTCTAGCCTCGATTGTGTATAGATGACTATGGCTTCGAGTTGGCAGTTCCCCCTTGTCCCTTCACATAGCGCTCCTCTTGATCATGCGGTTTTACGGGTCTAACAGCGTACAGCGCCCTTCATGGACCTGTGTGCTGTTGCAGGTTACTTAGTAAGTACGTCTCGGTTCGTCTCTGCATTCCCGCCACCCCAATCCCATCTCGCCGACATCACTTCTCAGGCGTTTACACCTACTCATCCCCACTCTTTGATCAATTTGCTCACTACCACTCCATTCTAGCTTCTAGCTTCGTAGTGCAGCTCCCTACGGCACCAAAAATCTTGACGCTTCCCGCATATATCTCACCTCATCATCCACGTCTAAATTAGAGACCATCTATGGATATCGTGCGAATATCAACTGCGACAAAACCTTGTCTGAACGTAAGGAAACCACCACGCTGACCGAAATCGACTACGTCAATGAGCCGTATTGAGGATAAGAGGATGCTGAAGATGACCGAGGGTAAGGGGTGGATGTCGTCGTTGACGTGCGTGTCTTTTTCTTTCGTTATTGTGACGCGTATATTCGTTATCGCATCTCTTTCTTTCGCGCATATCCCTCGTAATATGTGCGATACAGATTGTGGGCACGCAGACGATGATGGAGTTCATCACCGCGGTCAAATTTGGTGGGTGGGTCGAAATGGTGGTGGCTATCGGGATAAGGTCTTTTCATCGTAAATTCCTCCATTCCGTTTTGGACCCGTGCATGCCGATCTCTTTCAACACTGGAGCACAACTTCTGCCTCCACTGACTTTCTCACCTCCTTCGCCGTCGAGTGTCACGGACACTAACCTACATTCCTATTCGCTGCATCGGGTCGAGCCCACATCTGAAGGCCATGTCACCATGTCCTCATAGTAATATTCCGATTCAAAATGACCACGAGCTCGAAGTGGGATAATCTCCTTGACCGCCCCTTGACTGTCAACAAGGATATTGTGTTTCATGGCGGGTCGGCAAAGTCAATCTGGTCGCTCTGCATCAACCTGACTGCTTCTAACCGTTAGGTTTGACTGTTCGCTATTCCAAGGCATGTTTTATCACAATTACTGGGTCGTTTTATGGATACTTGCACCTCGCGCCAGCCTTTACCTTGGCTCATGTGTTCTAGTACCATAGCACCCCTGACTTTGCCTGGTGCTATCCGGATCCGTCGATTTTCTAGGGGAAGAGAATATCGGAGACGTAGCGTATCCCAGTCCACTTTTCATGCGCCGTATCCATTGTCTTCATTTTCAATCCAGCAGACTCATCCCATAAAGTCTCGCATCTTGCCATCGCTGCTGTCCTTGACTAGGGTTCAATGCATTCGATTATTTGTACGACGCCCGAGGGCAGCAGAAGTCGGTCAAACATGGCCTTTTTGTGATGGTTTCACACTGTCCAGGGTTGTAGGTCTGGTCAGGTACCAGAATCTAGAGCGTAAAATGGCCCCGCGTGGAACAACCCTCCTATCTGTATCGTCGTCGTCGGTCTATGTCGAGACTAGATTCTATTCCGCTATTGGTGCTGATCTACAATCAAAATGCCTTTGGACACCTTTGAGTTTCTGATCAACGGAAGACCCAGGATTTACGGACGCGGATCTTTGACGGGGAAGTACTCTTATGTGATCGTGCTCTCTACCCCCTCCATCTGTTGTCACTCAAGATCCGAGTTACGCCCCTTCTTACTCGGCTGGCAGAGGTGTGGAATGAGGGGTTGTGGGCAGTAGCGCAGGATGCAGTAGAACTTGAGGTCGTCGAAGGGTGGTTGACAAAAACGGTGCTGAAAGTTGTCGGTATGGAAGTAGAGCAGAGCTGTAGTGGAAGTTTAAGAACGACTTCATCTAGAAGGTGAAGACGATACGGACGAATGTGCCAGATCGCGCCCGCTGTATGAGTTTTCGTAGCTATCAAGGGATTATTTGTTGCCATCTGAGACATATAGCGGAATGATGGGGCCATGAAGATGCCGTGGATAACCTCGTGAATTCTAATTCTCCGGGTGCCGAAGCTGTTTCTGACGTTGAGCGCTTTGGCCACTCCGAGGCTTGAGCACTCTTTGACCGTGCCAACTCGTTATTTGACTAATTTGATATGTCTCCAGCCTGATTCTGGAACAACAGAGAGCATAATTCGGAATTGCTTTGTTATCCTTGTCTTCTAAGGCGGCACTCGATCAAAACAGAATAATGGGCATACTTATATAAAAGGCGCTCGATCTACCTCGACAGAGTAACCCACCCGAATTCTCTGCGCATCACTTTTGCTCTTCTCTTCAACCATTCGAGATCTAACACTCTCAACCATATAACCATTTATTCACTGGAGTACGATAGGCATATAATGTTCCAAGATACTCTGGTACGCCGTTGTTCGCCCGGTCTCCTGCTCTTCTGTGTATATTGACATCCACTGACTCACAGGCACCTCCAACAAAGACGTGGATTGATTTCGGTGTCGTCATCTACACGGATTGCCTTTCGCCACCTAAACATCAACTAGGTCTAATTCTTCAACAATTGCCTGTTGGCGTCGATCCGCAACCCCATAATTTCCACGCCTTCATCAGCAAGGACATCCACAGCGACGTCTTCGTACTCACTCCGAATTCTTCTGCTTCTCAATTCACGAATATGGCTCCCGGCACCGTCGCCAGATTATGTTGCACTGTCCGATCTCCTGCCACTGGCTCAAATGCCATACGCACAGGTCCAGTCTGGTCCGATTACGATCTGGCCTTCGTGCTCGGAGTCAGGAAAGTGCTCGGGATCTATTTCTTGTGTCGTATGGGCTTTGATGACTCGGACATGAAAGAGGTCTTGGCCGGCAAGATCGCTGAATTTACGCTTCTCTCGAAATTACGGCACTCTTCTGCGTCTTGGGTCGATGATATACTGCACCAGATTCTTCCCTCTCCCTGCTATCGCATGCCGTGGCTCCAAGAACTCCGATCAGTAGGCACCGCCGTTGCGCTCCGGCAGTTGGACTATTACCGGCTGGACGCCTTGATTACCATCGGATACTTAGTCCACGAAGATGCTATTACGCGCAAGGACTCGACAGTCAGGATTTATGAGGGGCGTACGTTCAGGTTTTACGGCGACAAAGAGTACGTGGGGCGGGTGGTAGCCACGATAAGGGAGGAGGATGCACTCGAACTTCCGGTGGGGTATTTGCATCGTTGCATTGCTTAGACCCCAATGTCGTTTCAAAGTCTTTGTTCGAACTTGACGCTTTCCCAGCATTGTGTACGACACTAGACTGTAATTTATGTGCCTGCTTGAATAATGGGCTGAAATGTTAATATTCAATGGAATTTGGACTGTGCTAAACGACTTACCTTTCATCTGAAGTACTTTACACGAAGAAGACGCGCAAGAAATATATATCTACGGGAGGCTTAATCGGGAGGCTTGATGTCTGATGCGATAAACGCAACGGTAATGGTTTACGAAGTAAGCCTTCAAAAATTTAAAAGATGACTGCTAGTCTAGGTCGGTGAGGGTGCATAAGTAATACCCGTTGTCATGTTGGAGCGTCTCCCCAGGAATATGATTGAGTTGAGATCACATGGGAATATTTATCGATGGGCCTCGAGCTTCGCCCAGAGAGCAATAAAAAGGCCCGCGAATGGAGATACTGTTATTATACTCGAACCACAACGAAGAGACGCACAAACGAATCCTAGGCTTTGACAGAAACTTCATAAAGCGCATGAGAACGAACTTGAGCACGATCCGCATCGCAGCATGGAACCGAGCCGTACACTCACTGCCGCGCGGCAAGGACTGAACAAATCCAAACCCCTTCCAGATGATCCAAAACCCACGAGTGCAGCAATACTGAGGTCCTGTGGCATTAGCCATTGGACAGGTGCTCAAACAAGCAGGAGAAAGTGGTGTATTGGCCGCGAACATTGGTCCGAGGACTTTGGCCGTGCCGATGAACCACGGATCGCGTGAGCACCGGCTTCAGTCCCATATGCTGATAGCAACAGGTATTGCGCGAAGTTTTCCTTGACCGGTAATATGTGAGCAAATTAGCTCACATATAATGTCTCGGTCCCTTTTATGGATAGCATACCGGTGAAGTCGGAGTATGCGCAGATTTGGGAAAGCGGTCAACTCTTAGGACACAGGCTTTCCCGGGGCGGGGATAATTGAGGCGCACGTGCATAGAAAAAAGCTCGCTTTGAAGCTCCTTGGAGGTCGCACAGCCTGACTTAGCTTTATGCTCCAACATGAGTCTCTTTACAGTCATCCTGGCAGGCGGGTAATATAAGGCACTCACTCCATTTGATCATCTATGAGCGATCAAAGAGCGCTATCAAATCAGACCCGCATGATACTCAGCTCGAATCGGAGCCAGATGACGGTATAGGAAGACATGGCACGCCGAACGGCATCTCGTCTTGTTTCCTACATTTATAACGGAAGCAGAGAATTTCAAGGCTCAAACATCCAATTGGTAAGAGGGTAACAGCCGAAAGATTGTGGGGTGTGACAGCGATAGTGGACGAGTAACTCCGCTTCATTCGTAGAGCTCGCCGCTCTGACCGTGTTGGGAATGCGGTATGTTTGGGTTCGTGGGTGTAAAGCGAGATAAATATGGCGATCAAACATGTGCTTATGCTTCTGCGTTCACTCGGATCCGATGCGCCTTCAGAGTTCGCATCGAATCCGGATCAGGTTTGATCAACGAATGATCAGAAATCAGAGTTCGGTGTGAAGAGATGATGGAGTGTGAGGCTTTGTGCCATATTGGGGATATACTCAACCACGGCTGTTCAAGAATAAAATTAGAATAATGCCTACCATCTCTCTTTTTCTATGGCCTTCATGTACATAAGGCACGGCCAAGGAATTGACACCTTGGACTTTGTCTGTGCTGAATAAGTTGGAAGACCAGTGAGGGAGGAAAAGACGGTAGTCACTGCCAGTGAGCGTGGGTATGAGTGTGGTACAGATCACATCATCAGCGGCATCTAAACTGTCCAGCGATGAGAACCGGGATATCCACATAGACGCTGTATTGACAGAGCCCGATAGGGGCCGTGGGCCTGGAAGATGTCTCCCGGGACGTTCCATTGGCATAGCACCCCCATAATGATCACATCAAATTGACATCAATATGCCGCCAAACACAGGAAACTAAGATCGATAGAGGCTCCGTTTCAGTCGGCGATTGGACTTACTCTACATGTGCAACGAGTTAGGCAAACGCATTCGAATGGTATCAGCCTAGTCCATCCCATGAAGGAGCGGATAGAGGTCTGTTGTATGGGCGTGGTAGGCGATAACGAAACATGAGGAGGCATGCACATGGTACCTGTCAAGCTTGGGCATCTCCCGCATGTCATGAGGAAGACGGGAAAAGCGCGAAGATAAAGTAGACCTATACGGAGCCCAAGGGAGGCAAACAAAAATGCACTGATTGAAGGGAAAGACCACAAGGGCGGCAAACTCTACCGTCATAACTCTTGTCGTGTTACTCCATAACTGTCGATGTGTCGCGACCATGTCCATTGATCCTTGCAACAGCGTATGGAGGAAGAAATGCCGACAAAAATACCCTTGCCTCTAAGAGTGGCGTATGTCCTCGGGGTGAGGTCGGAATCAGACAAGAGAGTTGCCGTTTGTGAGCGCTTGGGAGATCCCGGAAGGCTCTTTGCCTGAGGAAAGCAACATCCTAAAGATACGGAGAGCGCCACCTACTATATCACCGCATGAGGAAGCTTCGAGGCTTGGAATAACTATAGACCGCCTTCGCAGCTGCGAGAATCACGTTATTCGTCCGCCGGGAAGAACGAACCCTGAAGAGGAGCGTCTGCGTACTTATGCGTCCCCATAGCCACGTACAATGTAGCGGAAAAAAGGATTATTACGCCGCACGATCAACCCTGATATGGGCTTAACTTGCGAAGTGCGAGGAAGTTTCATGCGACGGGACGTTCTGTCAAGAATCCCCAGTATCTCTAAATAGTCACATTCGTTGCACTCTGTCATCCATCGGAGTATAATTGGACATCCGCCGAGACAACAGAGATACGAACTTCAAAGGCGAACGAGCAATCAAAGAGTATTGTCAGTTGGGAGAGCCTCGGCCACTTCTCTTGACTCCATGGTCATGATGTTCCGAATCAGGTAAACCTGTGCGGTAGTAAGAATGTACGGAATCTTGAGAGGGCCTAGGAAGAAGATACCCCATAAGATATTTATTCTGACGACTACGATGGAACATCACTCTCGTAGAAGAGTGACTGCCTCGATGTTGTCACGAAACAAAGAGAATGAGCACAGTACGAAGGACCTACCGAAAGCTCTACCGTATCACGACAACCAGCCGAACAGATACCTTCAAGGGCTATCACGATGCACGAGGATTGTCCTTCGGAGTAAGAGAACGTCTTTTCAACGGTAACATCTGCGCGTAGACCCTTTGCCGGGTTGAAGAGAGAAAATGAAAGTGGGTTCGTAAGCTCATATTTCGAAGAACTTTGGTCTATGAGTGATGAGACTGAAACAGAAATCCACTGTGCAACAGTGGTGAGTACGATTAATGAAACCATATCTCAGTGCAAGATACGTGACAAATGACGTTCCTAAGAGAGCAAAGTATCGAGGACGTGTCGAATATCCTATGTCCAGAGAAGAGAGGAACAAGGCCTACGGTCAATCCTTGGGATGAAGTATATCAATGGCTTATCGTTTAGCTGAGGAGAGCATCGTATACTGCCTCGAATGAATACTGAGGTCGCCATCGATTAGAGGCCTCGCGAATGCTCATAGCTGCCGGAGAAGGGCAGACTCGTAACCAGTATCTATTGCGGGTATGTGACGGCTGCGCGAGTACAAGCAATAGAGACTGGCGGAACTCGGGGTGGCTGAAGGGAGAAGTGCGCCGAGCTGTCAATCCAGGCGTCGGTCCGAGTATCGCGGTCACGTGATTTAGTCGGAGCTCGAAATCTGTACGAAGTAAGTACGAAGTCGCCGTCGCCACACCGCGCTGAGTACCTACTACTCGCGTTCCTTGCTCCGTCGCCTACCCTTGCACTTTGCTTTTCACCTTTTCTGTACCTAGTCATAGAATTATGAATGAAACCTCATCTTTCAATGATAAAAACATCTCTCAGTCCTCGAGTACTCTGGCTTCTGATAGTGTGGCACCCTCAGTTCCTGTGATACCGGGTCGGTTACAGCCCTTTTTCCCGACAAGCCCTCATGTTCAGTATATACCACCTACTGCGCCTCCACGAGCTTCACAGGCACGACCTTCTGGTCCACCTATCCGTCGCCGCCCTAGGACCAATCATGCTTCAACACACCAGTCATTTCCAACAACACAACTCGACACTCCCTCTTTCACACTAGAACAGATCTCCGCAGCTCAAGCTCAAGGCTCTTCGTTTGCATTCACTCGATCAGAAGACACATTTTTCCCAATTTCAATCAGCCCTGTTCGCGCTCGACGAATTATAGACGCGCATACATCCAGCTTTACTACTCCCTCTGAGAATACTAGTCGTTCCTCTGTGGATCCCGGTACGCAGTTCCTGTGCCCATCAGGTCTTCGAATACTAATTTGACTACTTAATTGTACAATAGAATCATACCTTCCAACGCCTCCCTCCGAGCCTTTTGTCTTTGGCATTGAAGATCAAACTCCTGCTTCATCTACTTCTACTCTGTTCGGTTCATTGCCATTCATAGGTCACTCTCAGGCTTCACCGGCAGCTACTACCGCTACATCTTCACGAGCCGATACACCTCTTCTCTCTCCTGTTCAACTCTTGTCGTCTATCTCCACACCTGTCGCCTCTCAGCCCTATGCCTACTGCGGTATCTTGGCTCCTCCTAAGCATCCATTGTCCTCAGCTTCATCGCCTTCGGAACGATTCACACTGGACGATCGTGTTCGGAGAGCGTACTCAGAGTGGAAAGGGGCTCACTTTGGTGGATTTGGGTCAATGCTGGCGCATCTTTTTGCACTCGATGCTTCAGCTTCCGTCAAGAGTCTTGCCGATGGTTTCTATTCAACGGAGCACATGTCCGCAGTTCTTGATCTCTGGTGGAGTCATACCGATGGAAAGGAGCAGCTGGAGTCGTGGATAATCCCCCATGTTCTCCCGTTAATTGAGGCGGCGGTTGGGAAAGAGATGGATGCCGTGACGAAGAAATTCAATCTTACCCTCAAGAAGACGACACCAAAGATCCTCGAGAACTTCAGCTATGAAACTCAGGTCGTGAAGGTTCTTGAAACACTGGCTCCTAGCTTTTCAAAAATCATTCGTGCTGCTGTTCAAACGACCCGTGCTGCGAGTGACAATACAAAGAAAGCACCAGATCATGTACGTCTTTTCCAACCCTCAGCCTTTATGAACAGTTCCTCATTCGACATTCATCTAGATCATACCCGTTCTTGTTGCCCAGTGCGCTAAGCATCGCTCACAAAATGCGAACCTATTTGCTGCACCTTTCACCCTCGCTTCCTGGGTTCGTGGAGACTCAAAGGCCAGTCTCGCCGTCGACGCTCAGCTTGGGCTGGGTGTCGACCCTTCTTCCGCCAACAAGATCATTAAATATGTCTCCGAAGATTGCGTCGAAACAGCCGTCAAAGCCTCTCATGCAGAATTTCAACTCCTTTCATTCGACAACCAGCAAATTTCGACATCAGAGTTTGTCGAACAACGTGAGGATGGGCCAGCAAAGATGGTCTGCGGCACCTTCATGATCAGCTATGATCTACGCTTAGCTACAAAGGCGAATATGCTACTTGATCCTATCATCAACCGTCGCAATCAACTTCCCGAGCTCACTTTCAACGGAGATATTCGGCCAAGCTTCGAGCTCATGGGAAAGATCAGCACTCATTGCCAGCTTCACGTCATCGAAACATTCCTTTCCTCTTCCTCCCTCAATGATACCACTATCGCCTCCCTTAAATCATCGCCTATTCTTCAGCATGACGCCGTTCTACCACCTCCACTTCACCACATCACCGCTCAATACCCGGGTCAGTCGATATCAATCCCAGAGAACTCAATTTCCAACATCATCAAGGTCATCGAGGATATTTTCTTTCGTCAGAAACGCATGAAACGCGACACCGAGATGATCAATAAGTACGCTGTACTATCAATCAACGACCAAGCGACCAATGCCAATCTTCGCGGTGCAAGAAGTATTCGCATACACGATGACACACCGTTCACCCGCTTTGACTCTATCCAACTTGCTCCTGGATTGTTCCACTATTTACTCAACCTCTCGTGGTATATGCTCGACATTCACCGTGGCATCATATCAGACACGGGGTCAGAGACGGGGTCAGGGGCAGATTGGATCCGGGTCTTGGGTAAGACACGCCATGGAGGCAAACATCCGAACTATCATGCTGTTAAAGCGACATTGATGCAGATTCTCGACGGGCTTCTTCTGGAGGCATGGCGCTTGGAGTGTATTTCACGCGGATTTACATCTATTGCTACCTTCGAAGCATCTGGACCAACGGCAGTGTTATTGATGGAGATGGCTGACTCTATTCACTCAAAATACTCGTCCACCCCAACCCGTGAAGAGTGCTACAGTGATCCTGACAATCCCCGTACCTTTGACGAATGCCTCTACAACATTCGTCTATTCATTCGCGACCTCCTCTACTTTCGTACTCTACACGCTGCTGTCAAGTCCGGTGACTTTGGGCGTGTCGAACAGCTTCTTGGTCTATTCGCTATCTGGTTTGCTGGTGCCGGTGCATGGAACTATCGTAATGAAACGCTTCATCTGCTGCTCAACCTGCGTAAGGTTTGGACACCTGAATTCACGTACGTCTTGCTCTGTACTCCTAAGCTCCTTATCTTATTTGAACTTACCTTCTTTGACGACTGCCTAGCAATGTTGTCCGTGCCAATATGCTAATTCGTCCCGGGAAGACCAAGGACGGCAGTTGGATAGGTGTAGACGAGAATATTGAGATGAAACTTGGTATACTCGACGTAAGTTTCCAGCATCACCAAGCTTCCTAGCTCGATTACTCACCAGTCATATCTACCTCAGATGTTATTCACGGCCCGTGGCGTTCGAAGCTGCTGGGATCGCCTTGGTACCATCTCTCCTGGGGTACACATATGGTCAAGTCTCGCAAAGCAGCTCTGCGCAGTGGTGGGAGTACCGTATCGATCCACTACCCACGTTGATCCCGATACAAGCTCTCTTGTGCGAAAGGTTACAAAAAAAGCACAAGAGTGGTTTCTACTTGTCGCACACCCAACGAAGAAAGGGAGGAAAGCGAAGGGAGGACTGACAAAGGACTGTCTCCTAGAGGGAGAGCAGGATCTCAACCCGGAGAAGAGGGAGTCGCAAGGCAGTCTGGCGGCATTTCATCGCGGAATCAGTAATTATATTTTGAAGGGTGAAGCACCGGTTTGTGTGGAGGTGGAAGGCAGCGAGGGTAGTGGTGAGGTTGGCGAACCTGATGTTGACGGAGATCACTCCGATTCAGTTGAGGGCAATACTGAACACGATGACGAGGAAGTCATGTATGCATAATGTACAGTACGATACACATACAACATGCATGGACATGTTCGCATCCTCGCTTAATATAAGACTGTCAATGGAGTGCCACTTCCGTCAGCTCACGCGTGAGCTGCCATGGGCCACTGTGGCACTCACTGAACCTCAACACCAAGATCTACTGACCTCCGACTCTCCGTCTCTTCGCCCCACTCTGAGCACGAGCTTCGTCTTCGTCTTCATCTTCGTCTTCTCCTTCTTCTCCTTCGCCATCATCACCTTCCATGTCAACCTCATTGTTATCGGCTTCGTCTGCACCCTCATCGCCACCAACGCCCTCATCATTCACCGCTCCAATGCCTTCTGCTGAGCCACGATCACCATTTACCTCTGTAACAACTGATGTGATCGATTGCATCGCCATCCTCGCATCCTTCCTTGCCTTAGCCTCCATTTTCTTCGCATTCTTCTCCTCCTTCCTTCTCTTCACCTCTGCTTTGTGTTCATCCTCCCACACCTTCTTGTTCGTCTTCGCCTCGCCCGGAAATCGCTCTATCACAGCCATAAGCCCACCAGAGAACCTATCCTTCCACTCTATGTCCCTAGACCGCCCAAGGACCGCCAATAAGTCGACAGAGGTCTTGAGCTTGCTAGGGTGAATCTTGACAAGCCGAGCGATGTCGCCTTCAGATAGGACGAAGTACCGAGGATATCCCTTGAGCATAGCGGTAGCGGAACGAAGCCAGACGTTGATCAAACGTCCGAGTGGAGCACGTTGCCAAGCTGGACGATACCGAGGGCCGCTGCTACGCTTGCGCTTTGCAGCGCTGCTAGACGAAGTTGGAGATGGAGGACCGTAGTAGAGCTTGCCTGGAAAGTAGCTCTGTAGATCGAAATTACCGTGACCGTCGCAGCATGTACAGCCATCAACAACATCCAATGCTAAGATTATTATCTGTCAGCTCATAGACCGAAATAAGTACTACAGTTGGAATGCAAACCTTCGGGAGATTCATCACCAACATACTTCTTGATGTATCTCCTCTTGCAGGTAGGACAGATAGCGTATTGCTTGACTGCGTCGGATGTTCGAAGTTCTTTAGCCGAGGGCTTCTCCGATTTTGAGTACGCCCACTTCTCAGCGAGCAGAAGACCGAGACCTTGCAATAAGGCGTCACGAACAGCACGTCCCAGTCGTTGCAGCAGCTCCTCCATGCTCGAACACATGCCATACTGGACCGCAACACGAATGTTTCGGAAATCAAGGCCCTGTGTATGAGAGTGAGCCAATAGAACAGTTCGACGAGTAGTCAATCAGCTCCGAACCTGGGCAGCGCCACTGCTAGCTATGAGGATCATGCAGAAGCCGTGTTCATCAGCAAAGCTAGAATACGAATCGTCAAGATAGCCGCTAGACATATCCGAGTGATAGACACGGATCAGACCGAGCTCCTGGAGGTGCGGACGAAGCCAAGCTGGAAAGTACGAGTAGAGGGCAAAAACCGAAGCGGTGATGAGCGACTTTTCGTCCATAAACACAATGGTCTTTGAGAAGAGCCTGAGCACTTCGTCAGCTGAGATCGAGTCGGGTTCTATGAAGTCCAAGAGATCAGGAATAAGGAAACGAAGGTTCAGAAAGTTTTTGAGGGTTCCGTGGACAGGATGGACAGCATATGTCATGTTCGGGCGATTGATGGTCGATCTATGTATGATAGGGTCGTCCATTTTGAGACTGGCAGTGATAGCAGACTCGAGATGTGGCGGAGCTGTGGCGGTGAGCGCAAGGCATGGAGTACCAGTGGGATACTGAATTCTCCACTCGCCAATTCGCCCCCAGCACGGTCGAAAAGCAAGAGTCTTCCCGAGCATGAGACCCCATAGAAAGACGAGATGGCATTCATCAACGACGAGGCGCCGGATGCGCGCGATGAATTTTGGCTTTTGGAGAAGGCGGAAGAGCCGTGTCGGATGGCCTTGAACTGGCTTGCACTGTTCGGGCGAGGTCAGGATGACGTTGTAACGGCATTTCTCGATGTCCTGTCGCAAATTTATGTCGATTAGCTCAGTTACCTTAATAATACTTCATTGGAACGCATGTAGTAGCGATCACTTACCGTCCAAGTCTTGGAATCATGGTGCATCTCACTGTTCACAGCAATCGCACGCAAACCCCGAAAACGCTCTATTTCCTTCGTCTAAATGTATGTGAGTAATCTAGACAGTTTCAATATGGGTTTGTGGTGCTCACCATCGTCTCTTGCAAGCGCAACAGCGGTGACATGACCAAGATGGTGGCGTCAGGGTTGAGCAGAGCCGAGATGATGATCTGCATGGTTTTTCCAGAACCAGTACCAGATATATACAGGACGTCACGGCCTTCCTGATAATTGACAGCTGGAAGCACCTGAGATTCACGAAGACGAATACACTGGTTCTCCGGAGATGCTGCTAGTACTGTAGAGTAAGCTTCGAGAGCAGTCTGGTATGCAGTGCGAGATAGCCCAGCTAGAGAATCCCAGAAAGCTTGTGTAAAAGGGACATAGGGCCCGTGAGTTTGATCCGGGCTGTCGATATCCATGGCGGGCTTGCAGAGAGCGAGGTAGGAGTCTTTGAGCAGAGTGCCACACTGGAACGACGGCGAACTTCACCGCGTTCTTGCTCACGACCGGGCACGCTCGTGGGAATCTCACTAAGTCCCGTGACATTTTCGTTGCCTTTCTGAGCCTCGGCGCACACCTCCGCCACGCCACTCCGAGAACCTCCAGTCTGGGAGAAGGGTGCAACGAGACTTGCAACCTGGAGCATGTCATCATCATGAGTGTCGGTAATGTTGCGGCGCAGATGTGACCGGCGGTGGATGCAATACAGGTACCCCTGTCGTTTCTCGAATCAGCGCCCTAGGATAACAGCCTCGCTAAATATTTGGCATCGACGTCAAATCCACGGATTGGAAGCATAGTGTGGCCACATTTGGTGACATTGATGGATTATGAAGAGCTCGAAGAGATCGTTCTATGGCGATCTCAGAGAAAGGACGGAAGCCCACTGGTAAATTAGCATGCCCAGTCTGGTCAAGATCATGCTTTTGATCCAAGGACCGCGCTCACTGTCAAAATGAGAGTCGAGCCATGCGGGTTCACTTCTAATTCGGCCCATGGTCTTCTATAAATGCATGTTGTGGCGTATGCAGATGGAGACGGCCACAAATTGAGAAGCCAAGCTCTGGACCAATCGCCGACGTTTGGCCAGGATCACTAGCTCTGCAGCACATCTCACACCAAAGAGCCTGGGTCAGATGTAGAATGCAGAAACATGCTTCCTAATTGGAGCAGACGTGGGATCCGTAGATGTGAGCCGGCACTACACAACCCTGTACTCGTACCAAACACTCTGGTCGAATACCGACGTTCGTGTCATTGCGATGCGCCCTCAGCAAGACCGAGACCATCAATTACTGTGTCAAAGAACACCAGAGACTTATCACGCTCGCCAAAAACAGAACAAAGGACGTACCATAGCCTCACACACGTCCACACCCAAGAGCTGATGGTGGTTGATTGTAGGTTGATTGAGATCAAACGGGAAACACGGAACAGTCGCGCACGTGCCAATCGTGGGAATTAAATGTAATTCCAAGATCTTGCGGCCTTTTCCGAAACCTGGTGTCCCCACGCACTTCGTCACCGTATCAGAAACGGTGAGCAGAGCCGCTCATCGTGGTACACTACTATTCTGTCATTCCACAAGAGGATGTTATTTCCTCGGAAAGAACTCCGTCTTCGCTCTGTCCGCACCGGTCTCCACTAAATGGTCACTCCTGACGGAAGCAATGCGAGGGCGAAAGGTAAAGCCTTCTCAAGAAGAAAATCACGAGACGAATATTGTGGTCAGAATGGCCTGCCGATTCTGTTTCAAGAGTCTTCAGAGTATCAATGGAGTGATATTCCGCCCGCAATGGACACCCTCCCAGCGCAACGGAAAGAGGCACTAAGGAGTATTGCTATGAGTGCCTGATTGTAGCGCATCCGGCCTGAGAAACAGAATGCAAAGTAAGGTTCCAAATAGCGACTGCGATGCCATCGTGTGGACACAACCACATGCTGAAGGTATGGGTCTTGCTACATGGGATCGTCACCGACTGTGCGACGGAACCGTGAGTCGGAAGTGTACCAGGAAACGAGGGGGTATCGTCATTGCCGTATGGCGTTAGAAATTGCTCTAACTAAACGAAATTTGTCGGATGGGCGGGTACTTTGACGTTGAGAAACTCACACCGAAACCAAGACGGATAAGAGCCTGAATGAAATACCTTGATCACGGTGTATCCAATAAAGGGCCGGATGATGAGTATTCACCGATAGTATATTCGAGGAAATTGGTTCCAGGGCATTGGAGTACAGCCTCTCTTCGAACAGGGTCAGCGTCGGAAAAGACAAGTACTCTTGAAGCCTATTGATGTACATCGACGGATACCTAGGTGGGAAGATTGATTAAAACAAAGGGAGTGCAATATTGTTTGAATCTTTATCAGATGAACTGGTCTCGAAAATGCTCACTGTAGTGAGCCATTTCAGGACCTGTGGGTATGTCTGAGGCAACAATTATCTGCATCTTTCGAAACTCCGGTGGCCGTACAAATATACTAAACCTAGCTATACGTTAGAAAGTGTCGGAATAACCACCGGTAGAGCAATGATCAGCGAATTTGGAGTACAGAAAATACCTGAAACGGAGATCTCTACATTGCATCGCCGACAAGAATGTGTGTCACGACGTGCACAGGTCCTCCACATACCCATCCTACTATTATATGATGAATAGACTTCGATGTGATTTTCCGATGAATATTTGATGGAGTATGGAGGCTTCGTATTCTGAGAGCCTTACCTATCTACATGAACAAAAACAGGGGGAATGTTTCACCCGCAATGTTATTGTAAGAACTCCAGCCGGGAGAACATACTTATATTCAAGCAATATAGAAGATGTGGGCTACCCCGAATAGTCACCGCTCTTAACAAATGTATTCGTTAATTTTGGTATGCGTGCAATGGTCAGCTTCAATATGAATAAAATAAGCAGTAACCTCATGCTCTTCTGGCGTATATTATCGGCACCGAGGGAGGCGAGGTGTAGTCTCTTGACCCAAAGAACAATAAAACCCGAGATGTAGAAGGCTGTGGGAGATGTGAACTAAACCTTACACAGTGAGTTGAAAGACGGAACAGCAGACTATGTACCAAAGATGTACCATGATTGGGCACCTATGCTCTCCGCATCACAACAATTACTGAAGAACCAGGCAAAGGTGACCATCTTCATTCCCCGGATCTTCGACGGTGCACATCCGTCAACAAATTCCACAGCAATAACAAGTCCCTTCTGTTGGATTTAGCTAGTTGCAGCTCGACGTCGCGAGAGCTTTCGCGAGCTTTCGACGGACACGGATGACTCAGCAGCGCAGCTGCTTTGCCACTCTCTCGAGTACTGTAGAATATTCTAGTATAATTTGTACAGTAGTATAAATACATGAAGAAGTTTACCTGTGTAGGGCATCGGTTTGCCCTAACACAAGCCAGCCTCACAGCTCAGTGTGATTGCAAGCCCTCTCAGATTTCTCGTGCTTTTCTCTCTCGCTCACGAAAATCCAACACCTTCAACAGTTGGTCGTCGATCTTAAGCAACGGAACTGAACTCAACGGAAAATGTGAGCCTGCTTACGTTGTCGTTTCTCTCAGACCCCGGGCTGAGGCTGTTCCAAGGCCTAATCCCCGAACCAAATTCTCGTGAAACAGAACAATTGGCCTCCGTTCCCCATGCCCGTCCACACCCTGTAACGACACTCCGTGTACACTTCTCAGATACAACGAGGCGCATGGGACGTAAAGTTGAGGTGACGAAGAAACGCCCATCAAAACAAAAACAAGACTCTAGCGCCAATGGAATATTCCTCGACCTTTCATCAACAACGGCAATGAAAATCAGAACGGAGAACGCCAATCACCGTGAAACCCGAGCTCAAACTCGAAGCATTACCTGCATGCGTAGGATGAAACGGCTAGCAAGCAGTTCTCGGCCACTACTCTCTGGAACGCAGAGGAAGAGAGGAATCTCTGGACCATCTGATGGGCCGTGTAACCCACGCCACCCGCTAGACGGGGAGGTATCCCTTCGAAGAATGTTTCATCTCCGTCTGACCCGCCATCGCCGTACTACGGAGCCAAAAAACCATGCACGAGATTGTCTTCTTCTTCTGACTTCAGAATTCCCAAGCATAAGCTCCATCATAGGTCAAATCTGCTGAAAGTAAAACACGAGACGCGAGAAGCATCAACAAGGCTTCAGAATTGGAGCCGCTGGGAAGATGGCGGCACGGGTGGACTTGACCCGAATCTTTCTATTCAAGCCGCCATCAGGCCGTTACTTGAGTCCGGCAATGATTTCGGCAACCTCGACTTGTATGGATTATGAAAGGAAGAATGGACCAAAATTGAGAAAATGGCCTTGACTGACTACCAGTAGCCATGGGTAACATGCAAACACCGCGTTTGGGAGTCTGAGTGCCGGTGATATTGATGAGTTATCAGACTTTCTGATGCAAAAGTCAAGGACCCGTTGAATATCCAGCGGTTTGAGTGAAGCACTTCCCTCCCAAGATAACATGTGTGCGATACCACCGTCACTGGCCACTAGTGGCGTAAAATCCCGATCCATCGACCCACGCGCTTCTCCAGCGGACGCTAGATGTCAACCGTGACGGCCTTCTGAATCTACCATCGACGTTTCCTCAAACTCGCGCGTTCCGCCACCGCCACTCTGTTACCCTCTACCCGTCTGCGGGATGAGAACGGAAGGATAGCAGCCACCGTGATTGGGTAAGGCCGATCTGCCGCATCGAATCGAATCACATACTACGGTGGCACCACCATTGTAAACTCTCGCATCTACCGCCACCACCAAAACGACTGCTAATGCTGCGCGAAATCACCCGCGGTCACATCGCGGTTCGAACGGAACGTAACCAATCCCCATAGTATGGAAAGAGAAAGGCGAGGCGCCAGCCTTAAGTCCCTGGTCTGGAGCCCTAGTTTTCCGAGAAACGAGACGCCAAAGTCGACCCTCGAATACTTGTGGCGAGCAAGGCGAGCGCTCCGTAATTACCACTACAAATGATATAGAGAGGAGTGAAATGGACGACAGAGGAGCTCGGTTGAGCTATGAAGACCGACTTGACGCCGCATATCGTAACTATACGAACTGCGAGATGATAAAATCATGCATACCGCGGCCCAGAACAGAACAAACCAAACAATTTTTTTATCCACATCGACGGAACCGTCAACGATCGTGGATAGCCATGCTCAATCATCTCATCTCCTGTTCTGTTATCCCTCTTCTGATGACTGAACAGAGCAACCTGACTGAGAACATACGCATCCGGACACAAAGCGCATCTCTCCACGCCCACACAGACGACGAGCAACAACAAAGGAGAACAGACAGGACCGACCAAACCATCGAGATGTCTGAATCATGCAACGATCTACTAAGATGCAGATGCGCCGTCACCGGTCACAA